AAGTATTTTCAAAGTCCATTGACATATGGCTTTGAAACTTTGCACACTTGTTCACCATCATGACCCCAACCTGTAAACAGGAGGAGGTAACTCTATCAAGCATTTTTTTTACTATCAAGCACTAAGAATAGTCGAGCGTTGCTGTCCTACCGACAGCTCTTGTTTTGTTCTGTCTATTTGTTGTAACATGTTTGTTCAATATCCTGAGATTTTTGTAACTAGGAAACATCATACCTTTCAACAAGACTTCGTTTTATTAAAAAATAATCTTGACTTGTAAATGACCGTGACCTTTAAATACCCAAATCTTAAATGTTTGGTTTATACAGAATTTATCTGAGTTCGATTGCGTAGGAAGCTATAATTAAGCTAATAGACACACTTTCGAAGCATGAGTGTAAAGCTCCTTGATTAAGGAAACAACGGCTTGCCACTGACGGGATTTGGACCATCCAGATAACAATCTAATTCCGGCGTGTTAACAACTTCGCCATGCCGCCTGACTACCTATAATATGTTTCTACTTTATGGCCTCAAAGGTGTGCATATAGTAAATGCCAGTTCTTTCATTTTGTCAGGCCAACCATTGCGCCAAATAACAGTTAAAGAACAATATATGCTCTCCAATACAATAACATAACTGCCCATGGGTCTTTACTAAACAAAGAAATATCCCCTCAGTCTGTTTAAGTGGAAATCCGTCCGTCAGTCTGTCTCAATTCGCGAACAATTCATAAAATGTCATTCTGTTTGGATCAGATGAGGTTATCATGGGATAATAAGGTCCCAAGCAAGATTCAGATCCGTCTAAGGTCTAGCTCAATTATACAGGTCAAAACTGAAGTCTTCTTTTCATGCCCAGTCCCAGCATCGTGAGCATGCATGACCCAGGTCAGTAGCACAACGGTGACGTCATCTAGGTATTGCCAAGTGGTTAATACGTCGGACAAATAGTCTGAAGATTTTGCTAAACTCACGTATTTTGCCAATGGACTGGCTGCATTAAAATATAGCAATGGCCACATGCTGTGATAGTCCTTTTACTCACTTCCTATTGCAGCACTGTAATCACACCGTACAATCAAATGGGCAGACAGCTGTTCCAGCGTCCACAGCTGTACCAGTATATACATGTCGGCGCGGGGAATACAATTGACGTACGGTAAGTATTCATCTATTTTTAACATATCCCAACTGTATTCGAGTAAATCAATGTTATGGATTCATAGTCAACATCCAAAGGAGCATGCTAACAAATTCCTGGCCCTGTGCAAGCTTTACTTCACATGAATTTTGATTGAAAATAACCACACTATCCGATGAGATGCGGTATTTTTAGTTTGAAGTCACAAAAACTTATATTTTCTCATGATAATTAATCCTTTTTTCATACGATTCGTAAACGTCAACATTTTGTCATTAAATATTCCAAACCATACCTCCAAAAAAGTTTTTCTGTTAAAGTTAGAAGGTATTTAAGTTTGTGTGTCATCAAAATTTAAGTTACGTCATCAGCTGTTCGCCTCTTTTTAATGATAACATCGACAGCAATTCATCGGCAAGAACGAATAACGCTGAAAGCTGTTCAAAGAAACAATTACATGTATTAACAACAGCGCTTTTGTCCTACAGTAACTAGGAAAGAGTAAAACGTTTTTGTTTATTTAGAATGTTACTTTATTCACGATACTTTCTAATTATATTATTTTTATTATTACTTTCTATTATTTGTTATATCTTAGGTTAGAGACCTTGATCTCCATTTACCGCACTGTATTTCAATATAAAAAGGTAGCAAAACCTATTAAAGGGACACCACTAAGGTTTTTTTGACATGACGGGGCTGGAAATAATTTTTTGAGATTATTTCTCCATTTGATGTAGATATATACTAATAACTTATATGCAAAATTTCCGATCATTAGCTTGCTCCGTTTTGACCAAAAATTGAAAAAAGTTTAAACGCTTTTCACTTAAATCGGACTGAGAATAGCACAAACATATTATTTTCAATGAATTTCTCCTATATTTCTTGGTTTTATTTTATTAATATTTATGTTTTAGTGCTCATGTTTTTTTATGTGAAAAAATAAAAGTTCATGTTTTTAGGCTTATAAACCTCAGTGGAGTTCCTGTAATAGGTTTATGAAATGTTTAAGTCAAAAGGCGAAGGCAAATTTAACGCTTAATATGAATATTCAGTCTTGTAAATGAAGGCATCCATCAAGTGTTATTATAAATAAAGGCATATAATGGACAAGTCCTATGCAGTGAATGGCTAGTAACCCGAGATATGAATGTGCATGGAAAAACATGTTGTTATTTATCCTTGAAATCTGTTTTAATGTATAGTGCAATAGAAATAATAACCATTCTTAAAAATTATTTAAATTTATATTTTTTAATTAAATCATTTTATATGGCAGACATCTCGGGTTACACATCCAAATTTACTGCATGGGACATGTCTACTATATGCCATTATTTATAATAACACTTGATGGATTTAGTTATAATACAGAGTATTCGTATTAAGCGTTAAATTTGCCTTTACTTTCTTTGGATTTAACATTTCAGAAACATATTAATAGATCTTGCTACCTTTTTATATTATAATAATAATAATAAAAATAATATCTTTATTTAAAGAAGGTTATACATTAATAACATACAATTACAATCATATATATCTTATTTCCAATGTGGCCTTCTGAAACAGAAAACAACAACAACAGGACATGCATAGGAAGAAAAATGAGTGTATAATATATAATTTCTAGAATATTACAACTCATATACTTTCTACAGATAATTTGTTTTAACATATACGTATATTGCATCATTCTTTCGTTCGTTCGTTCATTCGTTCGTTCATTTATTAATTAATTCATTCATTCATTCATTCACTTACTAATTCATTCATATGAACAATATCAATATTGAAATACAGTGTGGTAAATGGAGATATAGGCCTCTAAGCTAAGATACAACAAATGATAGAAAGTAATAATAAAAATAATATAATTAGAAAGTATCATGAATAAAGTAATATTTTAAATGAACAAAAATGTTTTTACTTTTTCCTAGTTACTGTAGCAACAAAAGCGCTGAAAATTGTTCTTTGAACAGCTTTCAGCGTTTATTCATCTTGCCGATGAATTGCTGTCGATGTTATCATTAAAAAGAGGCGAACAGCTGATGACGTTACTAAAATTTTGATGACACTCAAACTTAAATACTTTAACAGAAAAGCTTTTTTGAAGGTATATGGTTTGGAATATTTAATGACAAAATGTTGACGTTTACGAATCGTATGAAAAAAATGATTAATTATCATGCGAAAATATAAGTTTTTGTGACTTCAAACTAAAAATACCGCATCTCATCGGAAAGAGTGGTTATTTTCAATCAAAATTCATGTGAAGTAAAGCTTGCACAGGGCCAGAAATTTGTTAGCATGCTTCTTTGGATGTTGACTATGAATCCATAACGTTGATTTTCTCGAACACAGTTTGGACATGTTAAAAATAGATGATTACTTATCGTACGTCAATTGTATTCCCCGCGCCGACATGTATATACTGGTACAGCTGTGGACGCTGGAACAGCTGTCTGCCCATTTGATTGTACGGTGTGGTAATGGTTAAAAATGTTTAAATAAAATCTGACAGAAAATCATGAAAAGAGGTCGGATAATGCTAAATGATATTTGTGATAATTTATTTCCATATACATTTGTACTATTTTCAGTCTTTCTCGGAGCTCTAGAATAATTTGCAATTAAATTTCATTCTCATTTTCAATTTTCCGCTAAAAAAAACAACTTAATGTCATTTTTTTACGATTAAAATGATGTTCTCAAATTGTTTATCCGTTTGTGGGTTTTTTCCTACAACCAAAACACTCATATTACAGCTATTAAAGGCCCATTATGCCTAAAAATGTTTTTTTTATTTATCCTCATAACTTTTTTATATTCAGTATGCTTTTAGAGTTTAAAAAATGCTCATTGGTCAGTTACCTGAACAATCTGTTTCTTCTAACTACAGTTATAGTGATTTGGTATATCGTACAATTGCAATTTTGCAACTTTTACTTTTCATCCTTTCGGTATTTACACGAAATCAAAATTCATCAAAAGTGCACACTTTCTTTTGAAACTGAATATATTCAAATCTATAAGCACATAAACCGATCTTTGGCATTACTATAATCGTTGACATAGAAATACTTCATTTATTGGTCTGGAAAATAGTATATGATATGTTTTAAAAATAGTAGATGTTTCGAGGATTAGGTATATTTATTAAGCGAAATATTAAAACCGAAAAAAAAGTATATTAAAGAGAACACTGACTTAGTCTACGTACAACGTACTCCACTTGACATAATGGGTTTAAACCCTACCAGGTCAGAAAGTATATTAAAGAGAGCACTGATTTCAGTCTACGTACAACTCCACTAGGCATTGTGGGTAAAACCCCTGCCAGGGTCACGACCCTGTTTTTTTTCACATATAACACCCGATTACTGGTAAAATCCTTGAAGCAAGACCATGAGTGGTTCACATGCCCGTATAATCTCAATTTAACGTCCCCGGGGGCTTGTTATTCTTTTCTATAGGGTGGGGGTATTTACAATCTAATATACAATACATAATTATTTTTAATGATTTTACATTCCTGCGGTGTCATTAATTGTTTTTTATCAAAATATTTGGATTTCTTTTATTGCTCTTTCATTATGGAGATAAGATTTCCTCCAAAATGAGGCGGGGGCGCTAACTAGAGAGGGAGGGGCGTTAATTGGAAACAATACGGTAAGTTTCAAAATTTCTTCATAAAATGTTGAAGCTCAAGATATTCATCTTCACTCCTCAGAAAATCCCGTTGACCTTCATCTTCCTTGATTTAGTATAGAAAGTATTATAGTTGACAGGCTTGACTTCACATATAATATTAATGAATTCTGTTTTAAAACAGTAATTTTACATACGTTAAATGGTAACCCTGTAATATTAAATATTTATTCCGTTGCGTTGCTATCGGTGTCTATACAAAACAACAATGAAGAAATATTGTTAAAATTTATAAAAAGCTGGATACAAAACTTTAAAATGGTGAGCAAAATATTAATTTAATTGCTAAAATTAAAATGATGAAGGAATTTATAATTTCGTTTCTAATATAAGTAGAGCCGTAATTTTAGAGAAGTTATAACTTCATTATTATAATAGTTATACCGCTTATATAAGAGTTTAAGAATGTGGTATCTTTTAAAAAAAAATGTATACTTTGTACATACATGTACATGTAGATATTTTAACAGGAACCCATTAATACAAACGATTTTTTATCATATCGACCAAGCCTCGTTTATAACTTTTTACAAGAAATATATTAAGAGTTCGAAACATGTCCATCTATCTAGAATTTATGATTGGAATTTAAATTAGAATTGATAATTATTTTGTATGGAGAAATACATTGTTAAGATTATAGACCGTTATAACATAATCATAACAAGCAAAAATTTGTTTTTGATATGTAGCGTTAGGGTTACATATGGGAATATAACAGATAAAAATTAAAACATAGAATTTATTTAGACATTGCATGGTCTTAGAATATGATAACAGACACATTTTAAATGAAATAATGGGGGTCACAAGCCTCTGTTTTGTAAAAAGCCTTTTTTTTTTAAATTGTGCTTTCTTGACCACGCACTGATTTAAAAACGTCACATGTAAAGACTTCATTTTTGTTCACTCTAGCATGCTATCACGTATATGGTTATATGTTGACTTATCAGCTTTTACTGAAGTAGAAAGACACCGGGTCCTGCTCCCCGTATTACATTAGGCACATTAAATTGTATAAGCTCGCAAGACAGGGTACACGGGTTCACATTAAATTGTATAAGCTCGCAAGACAGGGTACACATTAAATTGCAAAGGCTCGCAAGACAGGATGCACATTAAATTGTATAGGCTCACAAGACAGGGTACACATTAAATTGTATAGACTCACAAGACAGGGTACACATTAAATTCTATATGCTCACAAGACAGAGTACACAGTAAATTCTATAGGCTCACAAGAAGGGTACACATTAAAATCTATAGGCTCACAAGACAGGGTACACATTAAATTCTATAGGCTCACAAGACAGGGTACACATTAAATTGTATAAGCTCGCAAGACAGGGTACACATTAAATTGTATATGCTCGCCAGATATGGAACACATTAAATCGAATATGCTCACAAGACAGGGTATACATTAAATTGTATAGGCTCACAAGACAGGGTACACATTGAATTCTATAGCCTCACAAGACAGGGTACACATTAAATTCTATAGGCTCACAAGACAGGGTACACATTAAATTCTATAGGCTCACAAGACAGAGTACAGTGATTTCGTTTATAGACTGGTTTGTCGATTTTACAGCGTGAGTGTATATCAATACACATTGGTCAAGCTGGCGTTCAGATGGGCAATGCATGCTGGGAGTTGTACTGCATGGAGCATGGTATTCTACCAGACGGTCAGATGGCATTCAAGGACACTGTAGAGTCGAATGACATCTCCTTTAACACATTTTTCAGTGAGACCGAGGGCGGGCAGTTTGTACCAAGGGCTGTATTTATCGACCTTGAACCAACAGTTATAGGCAAGTTTTGAAACTGATTTTGAAGTCCTTTTTGAAAAACACGGACTTTATTTAATTTAAGTCCGTATCCAAATTTAGAACTTTTTATGGTAAGTGAATGAATAATTAAACACTTGTTTTGTCTTGTTCCTTAAAAAAACACGAGCTTAAACATTGTCGAATTATACATTACTATGCTACAGTTTAAACAAAGACAAATTTATGTTGATGTTGTTGTTTTTTTATTGTTTATTGGAAATATTTCCAAAACTAACGCATACAATAATTAAGAGATTCATACGTTTTAGAAGAGAATACCAGAGATACGTATTTTAGACTTAAAAATGAATTTCTTTGTAACGAGACTCACGCGGATAGACATTATTGACCAATAGCAAGACATTATTGGACTTAGTAACGAGGCCGTCAAAGACATTTTACTAATACCTAAGTGATTCGGCAAGACATTGTTGAAATAGTCTCAGCTAGACATTTTATAATGTTGTTAGTAACTAAACACGGACTGACATTTTTACTTCTGACATTTTTGGACTCGGTCAGGCATTCTTTTTGAACTAAGTTATTATTGCTTAGTATCATGAAGCTCGGTAGACTTTTAATAGTAACACGTGTTAAAGATTTTGCTACTCAGCGTGTGCAATGTTAAACAAATAACGAATATAGAAATTTATATTGATTTGAAATATGAAACTATTTCAAAAATCCACCCTGTAAATTATTGATGTATTCTTGAACTGAAGATAGTAAACATAAAACACTTTTGTAACTTAGGATATCTATACTATACTGGTCAGCTGTACCTTCCAATTACTCAGAGATAAAATATATTGTTTGTATCGTATAAATGTATCTAAGTGGCACATGTTAGCCTACTTTGTAATATAGACAGGACTGATTTTAAGAAAATATGAATGCTAGAGGCATTTTATTGTACAAGTAATATCTGGTGTGTTTTAACCTAATATGGGTATGCTGAAGACGATGAGGGTGGATACCAAGAAAATCAAATTGACCTTGACCTTTAAAAGGTCAATTCAAAATGGCCGCTTGAAAATACTAAAATAGGTCATTAAAACTATGATACAATATGGTGCAATTAATTATTCTTGTCAAAATCAAATGATTATTCAATATGATAAGATTTTAATGAGATTGGCCAACAAATTTAGCGATTATAAGCATATTGGCTCAATTAGCAGTTATATACAGTACTGTTTTACTAGCGCGTTAAGGTATAAGACTAATTAAGATTGAAATGTTTTAATGATTGAAAAAAAAATTTAATGTTTTGTCTTGACTTATATTTAACAATAAACTTTGTTTATAAACATTACCAAAGAATAAATATTTCGTAATAACAAATTAATATTTTGTAATTACGAAATAATATTTCGTAATAACGAATCAATATTTCGTAATTAAGATTTTATATTTCGTTAAAACGAAATAATATTTCTAATTGGGAATTATTATCCCGTAAAATCGAATTCAATTTAGGGAGAAAAATGTAGAAAATGTCACTTCAGGTGTTCCGTAATTTTCAACATTATTTGTAGCTATGATTTTTTTAAGTTGTTCATTTTGTTTTCATATATTTTGCACTTGGTTTAAAATAAATATTTAAATTTTTTTTTGAAATGTCAAAAAATGTCATTTCAATGCCATAAACACAACACAAACCGAGACAAAAAATGTTTTAGAATATATACTGCGCCCCCCCCCCCCCCAAAAAAAAAAACAACAACAACAACAAAAAAAACACAAGTTTTAAAAAAGGCAACAATAGGAATCGAACTATAGACCTATCATACATCAGTCAATCACTTAACCGGCTGTGCTACTTAACCGGCTGTGCTACTACAGAAGTAACGATGACGTTTACATTTTTAGCAGATATGACTTTCACTAATATAAGTTTTATAGTTTTTTATTTTATCCTTTAAAATAGATTACTGATTTATCCATGCAAATTATATTTGATAATTTCACAGTGAAAATTATGAAAATATAATTACACTTTTCAATGACAAAACTACTTTCTTAAGATTTTCCCCGTGTGGTACCTCAATTTATTTTTGCTGACAATTCTGACAAAGTCAGGCTGTTTCGAGAAAAGCAAAGCTGAAATTGATAAATAACTTAAATGTCAAAAGTAATAAAAAGAAGAAAACTTACTTCTATTAATCTTAATTACCAATCAGGTAATATCGTCTCTTAATTTTTTGTTTGTTTTATTTTTACAGTCTGAAAAATACATTCCTCCCACATGCAAAACTGCTCTTGATGACATTTGGGCATATTTAAGTTTACCATCTTGTTTAAAAATAAGTGACTATTTAATTTGAAATCTGAAGTTAAAGTTAAAAACAACAATAACAACACCATATTTTCATCGAGTCAGAAAATGTCTGAAACCGGGAGATTGCTACGTGTGTTTGCTATACCATGGCAGCTCTCGAAAATTTTGGAATTCAGTCATGTTTTTGAGAAAATTCTACAAGAAGATTATCACATCATTCCGGGTACCCTCCAATAAATTTCCAGGATATCTTAAAGTAACAGCAAAGTTATTTATACAAATATTACTTGTAAAAAAATGGAGTAATATTTTCTTTGACCCTATATAAAAGTCACGTGGGTTGGCTACATAGTAGAGGTGTTAAAATATAATTGTAATACACCTTTTGTTAGCCATTGAAATAGTATTTTATGTATAAAGGATTTTCAAAAATGGTTATTATTCAGAGCGGGCGCAATGGTGCAGTGGTAACACTGTCTGCTTACAAATCAAGGGGTCGTGAGTTCGATCCCCCGCTACTCCACTACAAGACTGACAAAACCAGGACATAGACACAGAATGACGGTAACGATAGAAACAAGAAAAGACCTTAACGGAGAAGGAAACAAGTACCGAAGTACAAGACCGAAGACGACGACCGATAACAGAAGGAAGAACGGAGACAAGGACTGGCAACAAGCGAACAGAAACGAGGACCTCTAACAGAGACAGAGACCAATAACAGAAGTACTGACAACAAGCGAATATATACGTCGACCGATAGAAAGAAGAAAAGACCTTAACGGAGCAGGAAACAAGTACCGAAAGTACAAGGCCGACGACGACCGAAAACAGAAGGAAGAACGGAGACAAGAACTGACTAACAGAGACGACGACCGATAAATTAACAGGACAGGGACCGATAACAAAAGAACGGACAATAAGCGAACAGAAATACGTCGACCAATAACAGAAAAACAGAGACATGGATCGATAACAGAAAAACAGAGACGAGGACTGATGACAGAAGAATGGAGACGGGGATCGATAACAATTAAAGACGCAAACCAATGACAAAAGAATTGACAACAAGAAAACGGAGACCAGGACTAATTATCGAAGGCCAAATACGAGAACCGTTAACAGAACTGACAACAAGACAACGGAGACAGGGATCGTTAACAAAATAATAGACGAGAACTGCTGACAGGTGAATAAGACGGGGACCGATAACAGAGACGGGAACCGATGACACAAGAATTGACAACCTGAAAACAAAAACACAGGACTTCTTACAGAAGAAAAGAGACGAGAAGGGATGACAGAAGAACGGAGAAGAACGAAGACGAGAACCGATAACAAAAGAACGAAACGAGAACCGATAACAGAACATCTAACAACAAAAAAATGACAGAAGAACTGACAACAAGAGAACTGCGACGAGGACCAATAACAGAAAAACGAAAGTCACGACATAACAGAAGAACTGACAGCAGAGAAATGCGACGAGAACCTACAACAGAAGAACGAAGACAAAGACCGATAATAGAAAAACGAACACCAAAACCCAAGAGTACTGAGAAATTAATAAATGTATATTTTGCATGCACACGTTTTAACCCCTGTGTAAAAGTATAGGCATCTGACTAGCCACTCTATATGCGTTCATAGAGTCCCAGATAAAATACATGAAAGCTCTATATCTAGCCGATAGGACAGGAAAGAGTGTAGTGTTCGCTGCGTAAATGCCTTTAAGATTTCAGTACTATCTTTAATATTACTTCTATATTACTACTATATTCGCCTATAGAAAAATGTCTGCCATCTTGAATTTTTCGGCCATATTGGATTGGTTTTTTTTTACATGCTTTGTGACAAATTTCAGGCTTTTCCTTTCCTTAAAAGTTTTATTTGATCTATCATCCATTTATGATAAAGAAATTTGGCGGCCATTTTAGTGGTCATTATAAATGGCCATTTCAATGGTCAATATCAAGTTTTTCAATTTGGTATCCACCTTTATCGGATTCAGCATACCTTAAATAGGTAAAATACACCAAGATACCACTTGTACTACAAAATGCCTCTAGAGTCAAATTCTCAAAATCAGTCCTGTCTAATAAGCATATAATATATATTGAGAGGATTTTAAGCATATTAAACATGTTTCCTAATTATTTACAACTTCTTTACTCAATTGTTTCGAAATATCATATTTATGGCTTACTTTCCCATGTTTTCCTAATAACTGTAAGAAATATCATATCGAGGGTTCAAAGGTAAAAGGTAATAACTACCATTTTCAAGATTTCGAGAAAAACGCAAAAAACATATCTTTTTAATACAACTTTATTTTCCGTAATATTGTTATAACAATTTTGATTCTCCCATATCTGTTGACTACATTAGATCATATTTTGTTTAGTTTACATTGCTAGGTGCTGATAAAACACTGTAATTATAGTTCTAAGATCAAAATAATATCATTTTACAGAAGTAAAAGGTAATAAATGTACTTAGATCCTGTCAAGACTACAAGTTTGAGCGGTAAAAGGTAATAACTGCACTTACGACCTTTTACTTCTGAAGGTTTAGCAATAAAAGTTAGAGTTAAACTGTGGTAAAAGGTTATAAGTGCAGTTATAAACTTGTTCTTCTGAAAAGAATTTAGATGTTTTGCAAATTTAAATAAATGAAGACTACTGTTTCATGTCACAAAATGTGAATGTTTGTCATTAATTATTCGATGGCTTTCACTCATCTTCTAAACTCTCACTAACAGAAGGCACTGGAAGTTTATCTTTTATAGATTTGCTGCATGGCAATGACTCATAGTATGATTCTTACTCCTTCGGAATTGTCCCAGAGGCAACAAGTGACATCAAATCAGCTTTTGCAGCAGATATTGGAAGCTTCTCTGTATAAGCCTTTCGTGGAGCATTAAGAGACTTTTCTTTGCTTCTGTTCTTCTTCTGCATTAACCTAACTGCATTGGACTCACTAACCACAAAACCATAGCTCACAACAATACTGTATTTTTGTCTTTATCTATCTCCAGTCATTACATCATTTGATAACGTCACATGTTTAGCAGCAAAACAAAACTACATATAGATGTTATTTTATCGGGGAAAAAGAAGAATGAAACCATTTAATTATTCTAAAAACATTATTAAAAGCAGGATAAAACAAATACATGGTTGATGTCGGGCTGGAGAAGGTTTATCCGGTTCACTGCGAAAGTGAATCTTGGCTTGCTAAAGCTCGCCAAGATACACTTTCTAGCTCACCGGATAAGCTTTATCCATCCCTAAATCAACCATGTATTTCATATATACTCAGCCAATTAACACGTTCACCATCAACATCGATTTTCATTGAGCCAAAGTTTTGTTCTTTGTACAACTTGTAGTCATTGTATTTTATTAGAACGACAATATATGGTTGCTTCCGGCGTGCTTATGATATAACTGTTTCCCACTGCGATGGAACATGAACTATTGTAAGGCTTTTTGCATGCTTGATAGATGCATGTATGGACTTTGCATTCCATTAATGAATGGCCAATTTCAAGAAATGTGTGGTTTTACTATTGATGTGAGGTATATCTTGGACACAGTGAACTAAGCAACTTGCAACAAACTGATTGCAATTCTGTCCTCCACATGCATTACTATATAATGCCACTTCTTCAATACCAGATGTCTTACTTGCAACAGAGATTACATACAAGTACACAAAAGTTCCTACTTTGCACGAGCCTGGTTTCCCCATGTGTCTCATCCAACAGATAACAAGTCCCGTTACCATTTCCCAGTTCATAGAATGACAAATTGCAACAACACAGTTTTCTTTTGTAACGAAGATCACCAATTAAACTGAGTGGTGTTTTCAAAATAGCCTGGATATCAAATGCCGACACAGAAAACTTTGGATCTTTCTTTGTGCGTTTTTTATCGGCTGATTTTTGCATTCTTGCACTGTTTTTTTTCTTTTTGGTCACTTGGTGAACTTGATATTTTGCTTTTGTTGCCTCATCTAGTCTATCTTCTATTCTTTAAGTGTCATACAGATTGCAGAGTGGACATTGATCTTTCTTAGGACGGAAGAAAAAAGTTATATTCTGTACTAAAAATGATTCTGTACACAGCCTCTGAAACACACTTTCTATTTTGCCTTGCATTTTTCTACATACAGTGAGTATATTCGTTTTATATTTAAATCTTGCGTTAGATACTTCCTGTTGGGGTCTTCGTGTGTAGTGTGATTCATTAGTCGGAAAGCTTTCGTTGTGTTTCTTTACAAATGATCTGTGATATTCCGTGGTTTTATTTCCAGGCACAGCTTTCCCTCTCTTGTCATTTCCAACATATAACCCTGCCACTTTGTGCTTAGCTGCGTTTGCAACTGTTTTGGAACCGACATCGATAGTTTTTAGTAAAAAATTCTGGAAACAAAGTGATCCCTCGGAAGCATTAATCACAACAAAATTACATAAAAATTGCAGACTCGGTTTGATTGAGTCTGTACATGAGAGATAATGAATAAGTGCAACATCCCTCACGCCCTCTTTTCTACCTGTGTGAAAAACGAATTCGAAATAGGTCTTTGTTTTGTTCTCTGTTTAGATACATTCTCTGGTTCTTTATTGGCAACATGGAAACAAATGAATTGCCTCTGACTTATGTAATCACCCATTGACCAGTATGTACTGAATGTTTTCTGTCTTTCATATTCGGTTATATTCTCGCTGCATTTAATTCTAAAAGATAAATTTCGTGGGAAAAGAGATAACAGATAGTGCCTTGTGAACTGTATGAATGCAGCATTCTGTCAGGGGAAAAAGGTGATAAAATCAGTTATAACCTTTTTCCACTACAGATTCTTCACAACATGTGGAACAACAAGTAAACAACAGGTAATAAGTACACTTAGAACCTTTTACCCCTAAATAATTTGTAGAAAAGAAGTTATTACAAAATACTTTTTAATTTTTTGCCCTTATAAGGATTGAATATTTATATGATATTTTCTTCAGACATAAAGGACAATAAGTACATTATAAAAAACATAAAAAGTCAATTTCGGCAAAAGTGGCAGTTATAACCTTTTACCTTTGAACCCTCGATATTTACGTCTTACTTTCCAATGTTTTCCTAATAACTGTAAGAAATATCATATTTACGGCTTACTTTCCCATGTTTTCCTAATAACTGTAAGAAATATCATATTTACGTATAACTTTTCCATGTTTTCCATATAACTGTAAGAAATATCATATTTAGGCTTACTTTCCCATGTTTTCCTAATGACTCTAAGAAATATCATATTTTCGGCTTACTTTCCTATGTTTTCCTAAAAACCATACATTGTATTTACAGCTTACTTTCCCAATGCCTATAAAAACTATATTTACAGCGCCTATATTTACAGCTTACTTTTTGTTTTCCAGATGAGGTTCGTACGGGAACATTCCGGCAACTGTTCCATCCGTCACAACTGATAAGTGGTAAAGAAGACGCAGCAAATAATTACGGTCGTGGGTTCTATACTGTCGGCAAGGAGGTTATTCCCCTCGTTATTGACCGTATCCGCAATATAGCTGAAACCTGCACCGGTCTACAAGGTTTTCTACTATTTCACAGTTTTGGTGGTGGCACGGGTTCCGGTTTTCATTCTCTGCTTATAGAATATCTCTCAAGGTATTATCCAAAGAAGGCCAAGCTCGAGTTCTGCATATATCCGTCCCCGAAAGTTTCCACGGCTGTTGTGGAGCCGTATAATGCTATTCTAGCTTCTCATTATACACTGGATCATGCTAATTGCGCTTTCTTGTTCGATAACGAGGCAATCTACGATATATGTAATAATAACATGGACATTGAAAGACCAAGCTACACAAATTTAAATAGACTGATTGGACAAGTAGTTAGCTCTATTACAGCGTCACTGCGATTTGAAGGCGCTCTAAACGTCGACTTAGCAGAATTTCAGACAAACTTAGTGCCATATCCTCGCATTCATTTCCCGCTGGTTACTTACGCTCCATTAAGTTCTGCAGAAAAGGCATATCATGAAAGTTTTACGGTACCAGAGATCACCCGCGCGTGTTTCGAGCCTGGAAACCAGATGGTAAAATGTGACCCTCGCCGAGGGAAATATATGTCCTGCTGCATGTTATACCGAGGAGATGTCGTCCCAAAAGATGTCAATGCCGCGATCTCTTCAATCAAAAGAAACAGAAATGTCCAGTTTGTTGAATGGTCGCCTACTGGGTTTAAGGTTGGTATAAACTATCAGCCACCGACTGTCATACCTGGGGGCGATCTGCCTGCAATGAGGCGTTCTGTGTGCATGCTTAGCAACAACACGTCGATTGTCGATGCATTTGCTCGTCTCAACCACAAGTTTGACTTGATGTTTGCTAAACGAGCGTTCGTTCACTGGTTTGTTGGTGAAGGAATGGAAGAAGGTGAATTTACCGATGCTCGAGAGGATTTGGCTGCGTTGGAGAAAGACTTTGAGGAAGTTTCTACAGATGTTGGTGAAATGTATTATGAAGTTGAGTATGAAGATGAGGACGAGGAAGAAGTTGTTGGAGTACATGGAGGTGAGAAAGAAGCTGAAGGTGAAGTCAGTGAAGAACAACAACAGATAGAAGATAACAATGAAGCTGAAGATGTCACAGAAGGCCAGGAGAAATAGATGTCTACTTCACGGATGTTTCTTGTGTTTCTTATGAGACTGAATTATTACATCATTTTCATTTTGCCTTATAAACGCGTCTGATATAACAATTTCTGCAATAATTATATAGGTCAAATTAGCAAAAACGTGAAAATTTGTTTCTGTTTTCATTTTCCACATGTACAAAAAATGATAAATTAAAAGATAACGAACTATTCTATTAACCAAATCTTCAATGTCTGGTTATAATTATAGTAGAAATTTTTGATTACTCTTTTTAAGAGGTATTAATGTGTATCTAGTAATATATTTTGAATAAAATTTGTTAACAGTAACATTTTACTGTTTTTAGGACAAAATTCTGTCTCAGGTACATTGTAATTTTTGTCCCAGACTGTTTCCATAATTCCACAAAATGTCATTCTGCAATTTTAAGCAGATTTCAACCTGTGCAGATGGTTTTGTGCATTAGTGTCTGTCAATATAAACATATCGCGCATTTTTCTTGTTCATATTACAGGGATATGAAGTTCTTGCATGTATCTAGAGGTTGAGACACTGTTATTTTGCAGGAGGTTTATTAAGTGGATGAGATTGCCAGCAAGAATTTAATAGAAAGTGCGCTCAGATTATTCCAAACCAAGGCACCAAAAATAGATTTGCATTTAAACAAGTGTGATCTTGGGACTGAAATGAAAGTAATCACTAAAACAAATGCACATAACAGGCTATCCTTTAACATGCAAACAAATAACCTGTATAAAAAATTAAGAGACTTATTTGTTCATCTTTAATAAAAGCTGTAAATATATTAAAATAATAAGGACATATGGGTAAAATAAATGACTACAAGCAATTATATTTGGAAATATACTCAACATCACTAATTCCGCAACATCTTTCATTTCATTGTAATGGCATATTTTCATGTGGCCAGTGTTAAAATTGGTCAGAATTGACATATTTTATTCTTACACCTAAACAAGGAAGTGTTTGTGCAAAATATTTTAAATCTTGAAATTTTTACGTAAAACAGAACAACATTTTACAAATTTCTGTAAAAAGGAACAAGAGTCCATTATATTTGTGCATACATCTGAAACAATCATCATTTTCAAATTGTTCCTGTTTGTTGAAAAAATTAGTTTTAAGTTACAAAATAAAGATAGTGTTAATGTTAAAAATTAAGCAATATAACATTCAGAAATTTTAACTGAAAAAAGAAAAAAAACTATTGTGTAACACTGTTTACCGTGATTTGAATCATGACATACTGTTTTCAAAATGACCGACATATGGTCTATGTCTTGTCTTTTTTAAACTGATTTTGACTGAATATATTGATGTTTCCTTGTGTCATACTGCAGAAAATCCCTACTTAATTTATGTTACAGCTCATGACAATTTTTGTACCGTACGCCTCATTTATTGTTTTCTTTCTTGTTTAAAGTGTTAAGTAACGTGAACTAAGAGGAGCACAGTATATAATGTATCATCCTAAAATTATCTTCGTGCTTTTGAGATTTCTTCTTAGATCTAAATAGTGCTTTTTGAAATCCAAGTACACATGTATACAGTACTGACAAGAATGGCGAGTTGTGGAAAATAGCTGTTATAAGATATTACTGAAAATACTAAACTTCTGCCGATCCATATGCAGTCTGGTGATGTCTACTATAGTACTTTGCAAAATCCGACGCAGTGGTCCCCCTTCGCATCGCTACACACACTGTGAGGAGTTTAAGTATTTTGACAGTGTTCTACCTACCAACAACAACAACAACAACAACAACTGAGCACGACTTTGAGCTGTAAAAAAAATAAAATAAAACTATTATCACAAAAAGTAAGATACAAGCAACATTTTTTTCTTAAATATTTCAACTTTCATAAGCTTTTACGTATTTAATTTTCGACTGATATTATTCCTTTTGTAAGCAAAACGTAGATATAATATAGAATAAAATGTAACTGTTTCGGATATGATGTAATTCGGATATGTTGTAATGAAACCACACGCGCTAGACACATGTATACGCTTATATACTTTATATAAAGTATATTCTTATAGTGTTTATAAGTGTATATTGTATTTGTGTGTAGGGCCTGTGAATGAAACAAAGTAATTAAGTTTAATAGATACAAATGTCTGAGTAGCCTATATCATTTTTATTGTGACAGATAAGTTTTAAGTGATATATTGTAAGCATATAATTCTTCAGGCTTTCCAGACCTGATTGTGACATGTCTGTCTTACATTTCTTACATGCCCCAAAGTGTTGATGTGAGATGTCAGAGACAGATAACAAAGATAGGCAACTTCCTAGTCAGTTAAAATATCACATGTGCCTGCTAAACTTAAAACTTGTAGCAAGTAAAACTTATAAACCAGATATGGCAGATATCAAAATAAGTAAAACAATACATTTTCTTAAAGCTTATGCATTTGTCTATGGCTGCAGGTAAAAATATTTACAGTTCCCATTTAAATAAATGTTACATCATTTTTTAAAAAGAACTACTTAATAATCAGTGATTTTCCTACTTATATAACAGACTCCGAAAAAGGGCCTCCTCCCAATTGAAATTTTCTTTAAAATCATGCAGTTTTCCCAAAAATCTGAACTTAAACCAGCTTTTTAACTTCCCAAATCAGCAATTTTAGCGATAATTTTTCCCAATATCAAGAGGCTAAGGCCTCTTCCCAATTAAGTGAGAAAAATCACTGATAATTTTTGTTACAAACTATTCATATGACAAAAAAACTGGCTCAGTGGGTATGTTTTGCCATATATTTCTAAGTGAAAGGCATGGAAAGTTACCAGTATTTTAACATGCAGCTATAGATAAAAGATTTACCAGATTAAAAGATTAGGCATGAGTGATATTTCAATGGAGTACATGTATATAGGAGCTGTTTATCTCTGTTATCTATGTCTCTGGAGATGTCATTTGCATTTTTAAGCTCACCTGAGCTTGCTCAGGGTGAGCTTTTAGGATTGGTGAATGTCCCTCGTCAGTCGTACGTCCACAATTGCTTGTAAACACGCTAGCGGTCGCATTTTTGCCTCAATCATCATCAAACTTGGTCAGGATGCTTATCTAGTTGAAAGCTCGGATGAGTTCTAACATGGGTCATCTCAGATGAAAAACTAGGTCACAAGAGCTAAAAATAGAAAAACCTTGTGAACACTCTAGAGGTCACATTTTTGACCCAATCATCATCAAACTTGGTCAGGATGTTTGTCTAGGTGATAGCTCGGATAAGTTCAAACATGGGTCATCTCGGATGAAAAAGTAGGTCACAGGAGCTATAAATAGAAAAACCTTGTGAACACTCTAGTGGTCACATTTTTGAACCAATCATCATCAAACTTGGTCAGAATGCTTGTCTAGTCAATTGCTTGGATGATACGAACATGGGTCATCTTTGATGAAAAACTAGGTCACAGGAGCTAAAAATAGAAAAACCTTGTGAACACTCTAGTGGTCACATTTTTTACCCAATCATCATCAAACTTTGTCAGGATGCTTATCTAGATGATAGCTTAAATGAGTTTGAACATGGGTCATCTCGGATGAAAAAGTAGGTCACAGGAGCTATAAATAGAAAAACCTTGTGAACACTCTAGTGGTCACATTTTTGAACCAATCATCATCAAACTTGGTCAGAATGCTTGTCCAATCAATTGCTTGAATGAGTTCGAACATGGGTCATCTCGGATGAAAAATTAGGTCACAGGAGCTAAAATTAGAAAAACCTTGTTAACACTCTAGTGGTCACAATTTTGACTCAATTGTCATCAAACTTGGTCAGGAAACTTGTCTAGGTCATTGCTGGGAATAATGGAACATTGGACATCTCGGATGAAAAACTAGGTCACAGTAGCTAAAAATAGAAAAATCTTGTTAACACTCTAGTGGCTACTGTTGTGATCCAAATATTCTGTTAATTGGTCTGAAAGTTTGTTTTGATGATTTCTAAGTCAAGATCGAACATGGGTCATCTTGGATGAAAAACTAGGACACACCGCCCAAATATGGAAAAACCTTGTTAACATTCTAGTGGTCAAATTTTCGACTCAATTATCATCAAACTTGGTCAGGATGCTTGTGTAGGTAATTGCTTGGATGAGTTCGAAATCGCATGTGAAACTAGGTCACCGGAGCTAAAAATAGAAAAATTTTGTTAACACTAGTTGCTACTGTTTTGATCCAAGTATCCTGGAAATTGGTCTGAAAGTTTGTTTTGATGATTTCTAGGTCAAGTTTGAATATGTGTCACCTGGGTAAAAAACTAGGTCGCACTGCTCAAATATGGATAATCCTTGTTAACACTGTAGTGGTCACATTTTTGATTCACCGGTCATGAGACTTGGTCAGAATGCTTGTCTAGGTAATTGTTTGGATGAGTTTGATAAGTCAGGTGAGCGATCTAGGGCCATCATGGCCCTCTTGTTTCTAAAACAGTACCTGTGATTATCACCTCTATAGGTCCTAATGGCAAGCAGCAACCAAGTATTAACCACTAAATAATCTACAGGAAATCATATTTTTTAGGAATTCATAAGTCAGCAGCTATTGAAAGAATGAGGAGTGTAGACCTTCTCAGAAATTCTCTCATGGGATGCAGTTTATGGCATTCAGCCAAGACTTCCTTACAATCAAACCTACAGTTTTCAACATTTGCTCGAAGACAAAGACTACATAGTGTACAAAATCATGTGAATAAAGCCTTTAGAATGGATTATTTGTCCAAACATCAATATCAGTGTAGCCAACATTGCTTGTTGATTGTGCCTCAGCGTAAAATGGCAGGACACTCCCATTGGCAAAATATTAAAAGTACAAAAGAAGCAGCAGATAACAAACATATGTTGATGGTGCAGAGTTATGTCTCCCAAATGAAAGCAGCTATCACAGGTACGTAACGTAAAAGCCCATTATACGTAACTTTAAGGCGCATTATATGTAAATTTAAGGCCCATTATACATAGCTAAAAGACCAATTATACTTAACTTACTTAGCCCACCTTTTGTGCTGTCTTTAAGACCCAGTGACCTGTAGAATCATTATATAAATACCTTTTAATACAGTGCCAATTGCCCAAATTGACATAAAACCCAATAATAATCATACAAAAACAACAACAAAAGTTTGGTTTTAAAGGTGAAAGTGCCAAGCTTAATAAACATGCTTGGTTTATACAAGTTTGGACTTTTATCTTGCTTTATTTAAATCAGATGTTGATGTATTCAAATAATAGTTCTAACACATTTTTTTACATTGTCATATAGATAATGGCTCAAACCCAGAGACTAACTCTAAACTGGCTACAATTCTGGAAAGAATGAAAAATGCAAATATACCGAAAAATGATATAAAAAGATATCTGGAAAATGCTGTAAGTAGAGATTGTTTAACACTTCTTTTCTAGTTCTAGTTTTCATCATCATCATTGTTGTCATCATAGTGCAAAAGCTTTATTGAAGCCCTGGACTACTTTATATTTTGAGATAAGAAGCATTATTAACTAACAATGTTTCAGGAGTGATATTTCAGGACTTATGCCCCTTTTTAATGTAGATTTTTTGGGTCAAAATTGCCAATTTAGTAAAATGATTACAAAACTATGAATGTAATTTACATGAAACTTGAAATAGTTTTTAATCATGACAATGTATGGTATAATGACTTGTATGTGAAACAAAAAAAAAAAAAAAAAAAAAAAAAAGAAAAAAAAAAAAAAAAAAAAAAAAAAAAAAAAAAAAAAAAAAAAAAAAAAAAGAAAAAAAAAAAAAAAAAAAAAAAAGAATAAAAAAGGAAAAAAAAAATTAGGGGCAATGATTATGATTGTGATGGATAAATTATGGAGTTATACCCCTTTTTAAATAGATTTTTTGTCAGAATTTCTAGTTAAGTTGGATAATTTTTAAACTGTCAATTTCGAAATTACCAACATGGAACGTTGAACACTTGATAATCATGACATTGAACAGTTGTTAGACAAGGGACATTATACTGAAAGATATATTTTTAGGAGTTCTGTCCCATTCAAACAAAAAATATTTGTAAATTTCAATCACATCCATGCTTGTTTAGTCTGGTTAAATGTTGTCATCTGTCTTCCAGACGAAGAAAGCGGGTACAGTGCAGACACTTTACTATGAAGTACGAGGACCTGCAGGATCAATTTTTGTGATGGAAGTTGAGACAGAAAGTGCAAAAAAAGCTAGGGACTCGCTTAATACTTTAATAAAGAAAACTATGTAAGCTGTTAACACTACTGTTATCAAATTGCTGGGTGTTTTTCTTTTTCTTTCAATATTAACCAGCTGACAGCACGTTTGTGACTTAAGCAGTTTATATACATGTAATAGTTCCCGGAGTTTTCAAACAAAATTCATATTCATTGACCTTGTTGATGTATCTACAAAAAAAATTGTTCTGTAATATTTCCTGTGTTGGGTTTACACAATGAAATGCTTTCAACCAATCAAATAATTGCAACTTTGTGGCCTAGTGGTTAAGGTGTTTGCCTAATTGGGTCACAACCATGTTTCTTTATATGACACCAGTACTGGTTGATTCCAGGAAGCGGACTCGAAAGTGATTATTATAAGTTGCAAGAACTTGTTCCACAGTCAAGCTTAAATAAATAAAATATCTTTAAACCAGATAACTGCTGGTCTTTGTGGTAAAATGAAATAAAAATGAGCCATGTCATGACAAAACCAACTTAATGGGTTTGCGACCAGCATGGATCCAGACCAGCCTGCGCATCCGCACAGTCTGATCAGGATCCATGCTGTTAGCTATCAGTTTTTCTACTTGTTATAGGGTCTGTAAGCAAACAGCATGGATCCTGATCAGACTGTGCAGATACGCAGGCTGGTCTGGATCCATGCTGGTCGCAAACCCATTATGTTGGTTTTGTCGTGACGTGGCTCAAAAGATGTGATAAAAAGAATTTGTTTCATTATTTTCAGATTTTTTTCTCCCTTCTTCCTTAGATTAATGTACTTGTTAATGCAATAAGGCCATGTACATTAGCATTGTGTTAAAGTATTTTTTTTGTTTTATAGAGGTAAAGTTAAAGATGTACCATCATTTCAAAGTTTTTTTGATATGAAGGGAATGATAACCGTGCCAGTTACCAAGGACATGCAGACATCTAACATGGATGAGTATCTAGAAATAGCTATCGAAACTGGAGCTGAGGATGTTATAATGACAAAAGATGATAGTGGACTTGAGGAGTATGAATATGTTTTGAAGGTAACAACTTGAATTATTATTAGGAGTACTTAACCTTATATTAAATTATATATCAACACAGAATTTATAGTGAGCTAGCCACATTACACAATATTCGTTATCAACACATCCCTTTTAGCTCACCTGAGCTGTGGACAGAGTTGAGCTTTTGTGGCAGCTGTGTGTCCATTCATTCATTGCTAGCAACAATTTCTTTTAACAGTCTCTCCAAACTTCACAGAAATGGTCCTTAGGTTTCCCTCTATGGAAGTTGTATAAATTAATGATATATAATTAGGACCCAGGAGCTAAAAATAGACTTTGAAAGTGAAATTTTTCTCAGAAACTACAATACCCAGAGCTTAGATATTAAGCCTGTAGCATCATCTTGTGGTCCTCTACAAAGTAATATTAATGATGCCCCTTTTAAAAAGGGCCCTGATCTGAAGGGCACTTAGTATACATAAACTTGTTTAGTGAAATTTCCTAAAAAATCCAAGAGTATAGATATTGAAAATTTTAGTGTGTAGCAACACCTGGTTTTCTTCTACAAAAGTTATTAAAGTCATGCCCCTCAAATCAGAAATTTTTAACTTTTAACATAGTCTGACCTAATTACAGAAGAATGGTGACTTTTTTCATGTGAGCGATCCAGTGCCATTTATTCTTGTCAACCACTAACAACTTTTTGTAAAGAGAAAATTGAGGCATTCAAAGAGTTATTTTCAGCTTGTCCATTCTGAAGAAGTTGATCTATTATGATGGCTGTTGTCGTGCAAAATCTTTAATGTTGCCAGTGATTTTTTTTCCAATTTCCAACAAACTGTGGCTTTCTGAAGGGGAAAATGGAGCACGATAAATCTTGAAAAGGGGAAAGCTTAAATCCAATTCCAACAATTGAAATTTATGGAATTTACCCACACATTTTATGTAGAAATTAATTTCAATCAATTTAACATGCATGGTACATAGCAGAGGCTATCTTTTGGGACAGATTTCTGTCTTCTGGCTAATATGTCAGATGCTGATAAGTGTGGTTCTTGTAAGGAAGAGCAAGAGGCATTTTAGGGGAAAATTATTAGCATTTTTAGGGGAAAATATACCTATTTTTGGCTAGGGGAAACCGCCTTTATTCGACTGTAAAATACAGTGAAAAAATCACTGGTTGCCCATTATTCAAACAATTTAAAGTTACATGTATCAACATGAAACTTAAAATACTTGCTTATGGCCGCAAGATGCAGTTGTTAGGGAAGGGGCATAATTCTGAAAGTCATATTTTTAGAGTTATGCCCCTTTTTAATTTAGAATTTTAGCATTTACACCACATGCAGTGCTTTTGTGATTCTTTTGAATCTTAAAGCAACACACCTCCAGATTTATGCTAATTTTCATGAAAATTTTAAAAATGAAATTAAATGTATAATATTGTATAGTAAAAAAAGGAAGCAATTTACACATTATCAATGGCACTTACAACCCACGTTAATTACAAAAAGAGGTCAAAATATGCAAAAAACTGCCCTTACTGCATTAGTAACGCAGTAGAAATATAGTTACACATAATGAAAAATCCACCATTAATCGCTCATAACATGAAAATTATTAATTGAATCTTGAATCTTTCTACTTTTCCTAAAATCTTAGTACATTTTTCACAAGTTTGATTTTATTGAAATATTTTCGCTCATCTGGAGGAAAGTGGCTTTAAAACATTTATTGTGTGCTAATTTAATAATTAAATAGATATTGTCATATTACTTTGTAATGTTTTTTTTTTTGCACTTGATTTATTACAGTTTCACTGTGACCCTGTTTCGTACAGAAAGGTAGCAAAAGAGATCGAGAAGTCGTATAATTTAGAATATTCATCATGTGCCGTGGAGCTTATACCTCATCATTACGTCACCATCGAGTCCGAGGACGACCTCAAAGCTTGCACACAAATTGCCAATAAAATGCAGTCACATCCGGACTTTGTCAGCTTGTTTGATAATGTTTCCCCACCGGAAGATTGATTTAGGCATTCGTAACACTAGGCAACAACTACCATGTTCTTTTAACAAATAAGTTATTTTTTCAAACTGGAAAAAAAATATTGTGATACAGTGTATATCTATTTCATCACTTGTTTTTGTTATTTAAAACTTCTGATATTTGAAAGAAATTAATTATGAAAGACTATATCCTTTAGTCAGATTCAAAACATTTGTTTGATGTTTGGTTTCTGAGAGATTTTTGTTACAAACAAGATCGGCAGGCTCATTTCAAATTTGGTAAAGGTAAATTTAATTATGTTAATTAGATAAAACCTTTATTAGTTTGTTTGGAATAAATGCCTTGCTATATATGCTGTTTTCATAACAAATTGTCAACTTTGAGAGTCAAAAAAAATAGTTCTCATTTACAGTTCATGTCTGTCAATTTGACTTGGAATTGGATAGTATTACATGTGTTTATTTAGAAATAAAGATTTTTATTGTAAATGCTTACATTTCAATTAAAAAATTAAAATTTTAATTTCATATCTCATCTTGTTATAACATTAAGTTTAAATAAAATACAAAATTTGAGCTACCGCCAAGTGCGGAGGAACTAAGAGTAGTCACTAATTGATTATATATAGGACTATAGGTTACAGGTTAGGCACAATAAATGTTTATTATATGATCATCATGTGTCGGCTTAATACGATTGTAAGAACAATTCAAACAGTTTTCTTGAGTTATTGCCCTTGAATAAATAAAAATTGTTGAAAATTGTTTTCTCTTAACTATTAGGTTCGCTTTTGTTTACGGCAATAGTTAACCCAATCAAGTTATACTGTATAATTTCATATATACAGTAATAGGGAAGCAAAATAACAACTGTTGAGTTAGGTCCACAAGGAAAACAAAAAAAGAAATAAAGAAACATTTACAAAATGTAGATATATGTATTTGCATAAGTTAAATTACATTTAAGCAAAGTTTCTGCAATGTTTTCATCATGATAAATTTATTTATAAAATAAATATTTAGCGTATTTTTGGTGCATATGGTATAAATATAGTACTTTAAATATGCATGTACATGTTTATATACATTTATATTGAGAATGAATATACAGTAAAAAATACATTTATTGATCTACAAATGTTAACATAATTTGCTGAATGACGTCATCATTGTTGGAGGTTTAAACAACCAAATATTAAAATAATGTACATAGAGTGTTTGATTATACAAAACAAAATAAAAAAACACGCATTTTTGCTATCAATAAATCTACGTCTTTTCAAATAAGTCGTTATTTGCAAGTGTTAAAGTCTTTAAGTTATGCTCAATGAATACTGTTTCACTACTATACACGTATATTGTATTCACTATTGATATTAACAGTGCATTTTAATTGTTTTGTTTAAAATTTGTCAATCTCAAGAAACACTATAATATGTGATGTAGATAAAAGATTTAAAAGTTTGTTTGGAAACTGCGTGAAATAAATGAAATAATCGTTGATTTTCTAAAATAAACAAAAAACACGTTCTGTGGCACGAATCATATGATTAACATGATATTTCTAATCACATCTCCATTCCATTGAATTAAACAAAACCATATTCATTTTGTATACAGTGCCTGCAAATGCGTAAACAAAGTGAATTGGAATTTTTTCTGCAAATACATGTACTTGAGTTTCACTATTTTTCGCAGTGATACTAAGGAAAAAAATAGAAACGTCCTGATTCCAAAATAGAATTGCATTAATCAGACTCGGACAATGTTGAATATCAGCACAGCTATCGCTTTCTACTACCAAGTTCATTATCTATACAAATAAATATACTAAGTTGTCTTCACTTTGCAATATGCACGAATGCTTAACAATTGTCCTATTTATATATATGCTGCAGATTTACAGCAAAAAGGTTTTTGCATACTATCTAACAACATACGATTCATGTAAGTTTGCATATTAGTGCAATAAAATTTTTGCAGTCTTCGTTTTATACAAGTTTTAAAACACAACCAGATAACTGAATCGCAAGTACAATGTAAGTATTATGCACAAAGTATATTTACTTTTCGTAAATGATTTGATTATTTAACTAATCCGTTTTATATAGAAATATATTTCGGTACAGTTACCTCCCTTGCATATGTAAACGGAATCAACGCACACGTGATATCATAATCGAATACTCTCTGTTATTGAAGTTATGTTCTGTTCATTGTTGTCAAACTCATTATCAGACTCAATAGCATCTAAGTCCGTGAACGGCTCGCCAGGAACAAAACTAAATGATAAGTCGTTTGAATCTGTCACAGATTTGTCGCCCTTGTCTTCGAGCACAATATCCGTTTCATTACAAAAATTATCTGGTACCGGATAGCTGGTACTCGCGTTTTCTGCGTTAGATGTGTTCGTTTGTGAATGATTTTGGTTTTCCCTTGTGAAAGCCTCGTTTTCGTATGTATGGTTTCCGGAAATGACGCTTACAATTGGAGTTTTGTCGTCTGCATCAAGAACATGAGAAGGGCCCAATCCTTTCGAAGATTTAGATGCTTTGCGTTCTCCTTTTATCAGTATAATTGACAGAAATATTACAGTTGAAATGATATTAACAAGAAGTCCAGCAAATACGCATATGAAAGACCATGACAACGCCATTTTAGGCCACTGGGAGTGATATGCTTGAACTTTGGCGAGACTGTCATTGGTATGTTCGAATGTATAAAACGCGGCTGAAAATTTAAAAGAAGAACGTTTATAAACAAAATTATTGGCATATTTAAAATTGAATATTGTTTGCAAAATATGCCAGATTTTGAAAGTTTAGACTGTCTAATTAAATGTACAAAATAATACAATAATGTACATGTATTGATAGCAATGCTGTCAATAAGACACGGTCTTGTCGATGCTGTGGTTCTGGTATTGATATGATTATTTCTTTATTTTTTAATTAGAGGGGGTTCTCGTTTATTTTATTTATTCATTTATTTTAGATTTAGACCAGAGACATAGACGCGGCATTTATTTCTTTAAGACTTACATAAAAGCATAAGCGACATAATGATGAATGAGGAAATGCCAACAAATATGTGAATTGCCCGGATGTATAAAATCAAACACAGTAATGTGTTTGTTCCTGCAATCGCCAGTATTAATATCTGTTCTTCTCGTATTTTCAGGGCCGTTTCTGAAATGGAAAGGAAAATTCTGAAAGGGGAACATGTTATTTTTTAAAAATCGTCTGCAGCGATAATTATCGGGACTGCTAATTAAAGGCCCATTATGCCTCAGAAATACTATTAAAAAAATTCTTTATTTTAGCGTATTGTTACAGTTTCCAAAAAATACTCATTTGCTATATAATGTACTTTCTTTGCTTCGTTTGCTCTTTTAGCAATTTGTATACTTATTGTGAATTAGTATTTTATTTGGAAGTCAAAATAATAATTTGTTTACACTTTGTTACATGTACGACACATTACTGCACTGTCAACGTTACTTTCTTAAGTTATTAAACATGCTCTAAATCAATTATTGAAACATTATTTGATACGAGTTTGATATTTCTTAAGAATTTAATCTCAGTATTTCTGAGGCATAATGTGCCTTTAAAAGAAATAAACATAGTTAACTCTTGCAAAAAAAATGTGAATTTCACTGTGAAATAAGAACCATACTGAACCGCTGCATGAGATTTTTGTTGATGTTTCAATAATTTCCGGTATATACTAACTAGTATTTGAGTTACGCGTTACCATGGTTTTTGTGGATCGAAAATAACATAGTTTTCTTAAAACTGCTTCGAAACGAGAAATTAAACGCTTACGATCTAAAATAATATATCGGAGGACTTCCGCCGATTTGTTTAGAATGCGTTAAGACAGTAAACTCCATTGTTTGCTCTCTTATCTTCAATTTCAGTTCTATTGATTTATACCCGAGGGACAAAGAAATACATGGAGATACTTTTGTAATTTTTATACAGAAACCTAGCAACACGTATATCGGAAATGCTACATGATTATTAGCTATATATCTCGAAATAATATGTGAAGTTAATTCACCTTTGCTCGTTGCTCACCGTCTTCATTACCATTATTTAACAAATAAAACATGGGCTTAAGGGCAATATGCAAGTTTACGGACTGGTTGGTCAGACTGAGGAAGGTATATGGCCCGAAGCGCAGCTGAGGGCCATATTCCTTCCGAGGTCTGACCAACCAGTCCGTAAACTTGCATTTTGCCCGAAAGGCCATGTTTTATTTGGTATATTATACCGAATCTAAATCCTTTCATCCATTTGTTTTGTGCTGTCATTTTACTATAATTTGCTTTTAAATAATAATTTCATTGTTAAGTGTGTGAACTATCTCAAACTCTAGTCGGATTTTGTTTTATTATTTTCAAGCGATGCAGCAAATAATCATGCTCTTCTTTTTAATATTCCATTTTTGTTAATCAAATTAAATATTTAATGTTACTAGGCAAAAAACCAGGACTTTAAGAATTTCACAAAGTGTATAAATAAAATTTTCACAAACTGTATAAATAAAATTTATAATTAAATTAAAGACAAATCATGACTTTTGATCAACATGTAATAAATTTATGTCTCTGATAAAAAGGCGATTCGCCTGGCCATTTTGACAGTTATCGTCTGTTTCTTGTGTCGTCGTAAAATTCGCACGTCGTGAAAGTTACGTTAAAACGGTCTTCATAAGAATTATGGACCGCCCCCGGTCTGTATGTGGTTTATGGACCGGATGACGTCATATTAAATATAGAAGAGCATATGCAAATGAGGTATAATATAAGTTATTATTAGATTTTAGATTTCTCCTTATTTATTACAATACTGCTAATAAAAGAAGATGCAGAGTATTGTTGTTGTTGTTGTTGTTGTTGTTGTCGTCGTCATCATCATCATCATCGTCATCATCATGATTATAACTTCCATTATTGTTATCACCATTACAATCATCATCATTATTATTTTTATCATTATCATCATCATCATTAATATTATCATTATTATGATTATAATTTTCATCATCTACAGTATGAGCTTAATGTATTTCGCATATTTTAAATGCATATTTCAAAGTGTAAAGAAATTGCTTTAAAACCGTGTCCTAGGAAAAAATATCTAATTCAATTATAATGTGTGTTCAAAAAGAACATTTTGATATTGACTTAAGCTAGGTACCGTCTCACATTTGAGTTTGTAAAAAGTGTAAAATATTTTATTTTTTTATCAATTTTATTCCTCAAGTCAATCAGAAGATGGATTATTCAATAGATCTAGTTTTGTAGTGTGATATACATTTATATTTCATTTAAAAATGTCTTAAAGGAACTCTACTGAGGTTCAAGTGGCTAAAAACATAAACTTTGAATTTCTTACATATATCAGCTGGGGCATCTAAAACAGAAAAATATGCAAAAAAATAATAAGAAATTTACTCAAAAATGAATTGAAAATCGTATTTTAGCCATTCTTAGCCCTTTAAGAGTTAAAAGCGTTTCAAAGTTTTTCAATTTTGGGTCATTTTTCACAATTAGAATAATTATTCATGAGCGAATGATCTAAAATTTTGGGTCTAGACTTGAACATAAAATGGAACATTAATCTCGAAAAAAAAATCCAGACCCATCATGTTAAAAATCACATTGGAGTCTCTTTAAGATATAGAAAAAGTAATAAATTCAACACTCTTGTTCAATGATAACTTGATAAACTGCAAGAACTCGGTCGATTCTTGTCTATAATTTGATTTTCATCGTGAACAAACAAACCTCCGCGTCTAATTTTGTTCTGATTAATTTGGTTATTTATGTGTGTTTCCCCTTTGATTTTATCCTTCGTTCAATTTGCTTTTACATATATATAATCATGTTCAAATCAGGAACAGCTTAAATGGTATTTCAGAATTTAATCACGGCATGTCTTTCATTGTTCTATAAAACAAAGGTAAACAGAATACTATAGTAACAAGAGTAATTTGATTCTAATCTGATGTCATTTTCTTTCTAGTCAATTCACTGTGCCAACTAGCCGTATTAGTGACACTCTAGCTTATGGTGAAAGTAGTTCTATTATTATCATCACTATCGTCAGAATCATCATCATCAACAACAACAAGATTATCATCATTTACATTTTTTTAAAACCTTAGGTCTGGCCTGTATCAGATGTAATCATTTTATTATCATCATCATATTCAACAACAACACAACAACAGTATTATTATCATCATTTACATTTTCATAAACAAAAAACGAATAGATGTGGCCTGTCTCAGATATTATCTGATTATCATTTTCTTATTATATCATCATCATTGTCATCATCATCGAAGTTAATATCATTGATTGTTTTTTTCAATTGAACAGACGTGGCCTGTATGGTCAGGTTGCCGCTCGACACCGATTGTTCGAATCCCGCCGCTTGCGACACACCTGTCATATGAACAAGGCATGCAATTACGCTAGATAATTTAAAGGCCCATTACGTCTCAGAAATGACTTTACTTTTATTTCTCAAAAGCTTTTTAATTTGGGTGCACCATCATATATAGTATCCAAAAAGTTACTCATTGGCCAATTTCCCGAACCATCTTTTTCATATGTTGCTTTTTTGGCAATAAGTACAGTTATAGTGAATTAGTATTTTGTATGGATGTACTTTGTTTTTATTTCTGCTTTTTCAATGTTTTAATTTCCGCTACTTTTTTGGTTCTTAAACCATATTGAATTTGTAAAAATTAATTTTCCACTTGTAACGAACATTTTTTCTGAATTGTGGCATAAAAGAAAATCTTTTAATCCAAGTGTAAAAAGTCAGCAAATTTATATTACATTCATACTTAAGTATGACTTATTAAGGAGAAATCATTCTATATTAAAATCAAGTTAAAAAATTTCCACAAAATTAAAAATTTTGAAACAAATTTTATATTTTAATAATTTAAAATATTGAGTATATTATAATAGTATGCTAAAAAAATGCGCACGTTACCGCGGGCAAAATTCAAATAAATAAAAATTAATTTAATCATTAATAAAGCATAAAATAAATTAAGAAAATTTATTTGTTTTACATATAAGATTGAAATATTTTTAAATTCGTGAACACCAGCTATTAATATTTTCACTCGTGGCTACGCCACTCGTGAAAATATTGCATCTGGTGTTCACTCAGTGAAATTATATTTCAATCTTACATCCAAAACAAACAACAATATCCTCTATATATAATTTTGCTACTTTTATGACACATTATTTCAAATTTCTCGCTACTTTTTTAACAGTTCTCTAAACCAGTATTTAATCATTATAAAATTAATGTTTGCCCTTTCTTAAAAGTAAAGAATTATTTTTTTCTGAGGCATAATGTTAACAAGTTAAATCGTTTTATCCAAGTTGTAAAAAGTTTCCAAATTTATATTACAAATTTATACTTTTCAAGTATGACTAGATTATGAAGCCCCTGTAACATTCATGATAATAAAACTTCCAAAGCGAATTAATTAAAATGATCTTCCTACACAAATTAAATATGTTCCGTGTACAATATTACTTCTTATATATATATAGTTTCTTATATAGTATGTTTTTAAATTGAATCGCCGTATGTGAATGCCCGCGGTGAAGAATAATCCTTCTAAATAATATGGATTTAAAGATTAATATATAATCGTATTTAATAACACAAAACAACCTTTCACTCCAGGTATTTACATTTTTTCACTTAACAGCATTTTTTAAATTGAATTTAAATAGAGTATATTTTTAAGATTAATTTTTGCTGATGAAGGAGTCACCTTTCGCTGACATTTATTTTTCATTCACATTTGTTTGGTGAAAGTTTTATAATCTCTTATTTCTTGTTCAAAAGCTATTTTTTTATCTTTGTATGTTGCCCATATTCTAGAAAATACACATTTGTTTTTGTAAATGTCCAAAGGCTTTTTTATGTCATGATTGATTGATTGATTGATTGATTGATTGATTGATTGATCGATAGATCGATCGATTGATTGTTGTAATCATGGCCAACCCATTCTCGGAAAAGGACAGCGACGAAATTTAACGAAGTTTTGTCCCTGCTTTGTATTGTCCATATTGTCCATTTGTTGGCTTTGTTTTGGTAACCTGTTATTACTAAATTTGATGGGTGCTGTTTTTTTTTTTTTTTTTTTTTTTTTTTTTTGCTCGATATGCAATTACACAAACATAACATTTTAAGGTAAAAGTCGAGCTTTATAACGACAGTTCAAAATAAATATTTCCTACCCTCTTTGTATACCATTCCACCAGCATATTCCACTTGCTGTCTGAAAAGCCCCAAGTTGACATGCAAGGCTTTTGCATCTGAAATTAAAATAATAAGGAAATGAACATTCTTAGCAACAATAACATATTTGCATGGAAATATCGAAAATATCCGTAGTTTTATTGTACTATCTTGGTTTATTTTCATATTCATCTATGAGCTTTTATTACCATGTCTGTAACAAATGAAAGAACCCAGAATCTAAAAGAAAAGAGAAAGAGCTACGTATTTTTCAAATGAACTGATGGGCTTTTATATGAAATGCTTCATTTGTTAGTAATGTATATTGTAAATTTAGTTGCACATCGAGCGAACGTATGGTCTTAAAAGGGAGCAAAAATAATTTAATGAATTGTTTGGATTCATAAAAATATTAAGACCGCACACTCGGCATAGTTGGTTTTTACATAACACATCAAATTTGCAACTTTTCACTTCGTAGGTAGTGTAGATCAAATGCACAGTGCGTTAAAGAATTTAAAAATATGATATTAATTATATTGAATGTTTTAGTTTTAATTTCTCTTGAATATCTATACCGATCAACACTATTATTCTGTGTATCCCACAAAACTCAAAGGTCCAGTTGAAATTATTGTTGAGTTTGAGTGTATATTTAGAAACGATGACTCTAAGATGAACTGAATTGTGAATACAATTTGGCATGAAAGTAAGAAAATATTTTTGAAAACATGTATTTTTTTTAATATTATTCATCTAAACCTTTCCTTTATCATATTGAATGAACAAATATGTGTGTACTGGAATGAAGCATGTGGTAACTATTTTCATGTTTATGTGTTTACCCCTTTCCACGCTAAATATTGTATATGCACTTGTCCATCTTTCAGTCACCCAATTTAGGGAATTTTTTTTAAAGAGTATTGACTCAAAAGCGAGCACTTCACACTAAGATTTTGGTCTGCACCGGTCGCTTGTTGTGCATCGAAAATATTTCAGACAATAATATTTCACGCAACATATTAGTCATTTCCTGGAGTATATGAACTTTTTAATATACCTAAAACTTACCTGTTATATTTTCATTTAAGATGTCGTTGCCACTGGATGTATGATCTAAAGTTTTCGTCCTTGACCCCGAGCACCAGAAGTCGGTGACAAACCCCAAAACATGCGCCCCCATACCGAGTAGAATAAACGCCAACGCAAAATGCGAAAGCACTGTAAGTTTGCTAGTCATGATGATTCAGCTAAAATATGAAAAACAAAAACATGAATAATATCATAATACTGGAGAGAAATGTTAATTAATAGCATAAAGGAAATGCACATATAACATGATAGATGTATTGTTAAAGGTTTTCGGTTCTTCGAATATAAAGAACCAAAGTGTGTGGAACTTCTTATATAACAATCAGTCGTCTACTGGCTTGCCGATGAAAAAAACAGTCGACGAAAAAAAAAAAAACAGACAAAAAACCCCACAGACATCAGTTCTGCATTTTCTGAGCATTCATAACGAAGAAGGGACAACAGTTAAGATTGTTTTATGTATAGAATACATTTCAGTTTAATTTATCATAAAGGTATGATTGATATTGAAGTACAGTCAATCCTGTGAATAAAGGCCGTCCAAAGGAGAGACTGAACATGACCTTCACAGACGAGTGGTCTTTACCTGGAGGTAATTTTGTTAAAGGTTTGTCTGATAGAGGCTGATCTTTATGTGAAAGTGGTCTTTGATGAAGATTTGATTGTACACATTATTTTTGGAACAATATTTCGTAAGAGTCTTGGTAGTGAAGTAGTACAAAATTTTGATTTAGCTGGTGTGGTCGTTTTATATTGGTAGTGGGGTGGTGGGGTCTCTAGAAAAATCTGATCATAAAAATTCTAAACCACGATAAAACAAGCAATCCCCAGGAATATAAATATTCCTAAATCAATATACCTTATGTTATAACATAAGGTCTTAAATGAAAGAAAGGTGGATATTAAGCACGTCATCATCAATAGGAAATTAAAGGTGGCTAAAAAAACATAGATTTTATAGCTCGCTTATTTCTCAATAAAAATCGGTTCAGACATAAAGTGCGTTTTACATTGTCTATTGTTACATTGGTAAGGGGTATTAAATGCAACATTATCATGCAAATAACGTTCGTTCTATTGTCCATAAAGGATTTGAAGAATATTAGTATATATATCAAGAAATAAATGCGTATCTATATATATGCAGTATCAAAAACGATCGCTAGGTGCTATAAGCACACTCATTCTATAAGTATGAAATGTTTAAATTGCAGTCTATTAATATAATAAGTTCTATTATTAAAAAGGCCGATGCAAGGCTAAAATTTCTGTATAGAAAACGTGATTGTCTCACATTTCACACTAAAAAACTTCTGGTTATGGCCCTCATCAAATGTCGTTGTTTCTGGTTTCCTGGGGTTACTAAATACTGGAAGGATAAACTCCAAGTCACACAAAATAGATTAATAGGATTTGTTCTAAATCTTGGTTATAGGTCACATATTGATAATGAACACTTTAAAATCTTAAATTGGTTACCTGTCCAGAAAAGAGTCGATGAAATTATCCTCTGAAATGTTTTTTCAAATAAAACATGGACTTGCCCCTGAATATATGGGAGAAAACTTTACTCCATTAGATTCTGTTCATACTTACAGGACCAGGTCAAGTGACAGTGGGTGTTATATGCTACCTAAGGTCAAAGGTTTCGGATCAAAGTCTTTTGCTTACAATGGATGTGTATTGTGGAATAAACTACCCTCTTCTATTAGGATGGAATTAAAATTCAACAATTTTAAATTATCTGTTAAAAAACATTTACTTAATGGGTAATTATCTCTTTTAAGGGTGTCTATCCTCTAGTCTTAATATATATTATTTTTATTTATTTATTTTAATTTAAACATTTTATTTTATTTATACTATCGTCTTCCTTCAATTTAAAACTGTGATAAGTCATTTTCATGCCTCTCTTTGTCAAAACCATCAGTATCTAAGGACCACAATGGAAATAAGAGATTAAGTTCTCTTTCTTGTGTTATCATTGGTGTTTTTGATATGGTTCATTTCTTTACATTGATATTTGTTTTTATTGTTTTATCATGTATTGGATATGTTTTTACCATGTTATTACTGAATACTGAAATAAATCTATTTATCTATCTATACATGTATGTCAATTTCATATAGATTTTACCTACGGCGAGTTTATGACACAGTATACACGGCGAGTTTATGACACCGTACCTACGGCGAGTTTAGGACACAATACCTACGACGAGTTTATGACATAGTAAATACGGCGAGTTTATGACACAGTACCAGTACCTACGGCGAATTTATGACACAATACCTACGGTGAGTTTACGGTGAGTTTTGACACAGTACCAACGGCGAGCTTATGACACAGTACCTACCGCGAGTTTATGGCACAGTACCTATATATACGGCGAGTTTATGATACAGTACCTTCGGTGAGTTAATGGCACAGTACCTGCGGCGAGTTTATGACACAGTACCTACGGCGAATTTACGACACAGGTCCTAAGACGAGTTTATGACTCAGTACCTACGGCGAGTTATGGCACAGTACCTACGTTGAGTTTATGGCACAGTACCTGCGGCGAGTTTATGACACAGTGCCTACGACGAGTTTATGACACAGTACCTTCGGCGAGTTTATGGCACAGTACCTACGACGAGTTTATGGCACAGTACCTACGACGAGTTTATGACACAGTACATTCGGCGAGTTTATGACACAGTACCTACGGCGAGTTTATGACACAGTACATATGGAGAGTTTATGACACAGTACCTACGGCGAGTTTATGGCACAGTACATATGGAGAGTTAATGTTTCTTTATATGAAATGATATAATCAGCCGTTAACGTGTCGGAACCATTCGTCATCAGTATATAGTCTAGTGCTAGCCAGTTTTCACATCAGTGCAGTCTTACCATGCGCAATAGTGTTGGTAGCTCAACTATTGTGTTTTGATGATTGAATCCCTTTAACTTCGAGTGGATTGTTAATGCAAATCCTTAACACAAAATCAACAAGGCAACAGTTAAGCTAATGAAGGCAGAAAATGCCTGTGAAAATACGAACAATATCGCAATTTTAACATCTAACATGTGTAGTATAGAGAAATACGCCATGGTTATATTTTATTGAATAAAATCAATTTATAGTATGTAATAAAAATACGTACCTTTTAAACTATACTCCGAATTTTGTACTACTTCCGAACTTTTTTCCAATCATTTAATTTCTGAAACTTGGTTTATTCAATTAAAACATATTAAAGCATATTTTAATCCTCGCTAGGGTGTTATTCTTCGAGTATTAAAGGTAAATAGTCACAAGTGAATCCTTCAGAAATTCAAATTAAACGCGGTGAACGTTTGAGATCGTATTATATATTGATCAGAGAGAAAGCTATTTACTGTGTGACAAATCTAATAAAAAACCAATACCAGATCTCATTCACGAACTGCTTAAAATTCCAAATATATATATTAAACTATATGAATAGTTAATGCATGTGGGTTATTAGATAATGAAGGTATATCGGGATAGCCAATTAAACTGTCTTAATGTGATCAGCAATTCGTAATTGCTGCAGTGACATTCTATTGGTAGGTATATTATATATGGACGAGTATATATAGTACGTAATTAGAAATTTGAGATGAATGATTGCGTTATCGACGAACGAAAAAAAACATGTCGATATAGTTCACACATAGAGATCAGTCTTTGTGACAACACTTTGTGATCCAGCTGTAGTCCCCAGAGTCTGTATGAAAAACATATAAACGGAACTGTTAATTGCTCGACCAACTGTTACGTGTCGGAATAACAAAACTTGATAATGAATAATGGATTACCGGCTTTATAGTATGGAACATTAATATAAGCTGGCATTTTCATTCCTAAAACTAATAAACAATTTATGGCGAAAACCCTAGTTAATGTATTATGTATATGGATTTTAGTTCAGTCGAAACCTATATAGTATAAAATTCATTACAATAATGTATCCTGCCATTTTCCCCGATTTTCTTCATTATCAGTTTTATTAAATATTATTATAAAAACATAACATTTCTTCACATTTACTTTTTCTCTTTCGCTGTCACCTTGTTAGCACCCACATTTTCATCTTGTAAAATGTTTATATATCAAGAAAAACTTTAGATATGAATATGCTTATCGTAATTAATTTAAAGTTTTCTCGATCGGTCCCACAACCTTTATTTTCTTCATGTATTAACAAATTTGTCGGGGAAATATTAAAGAGAAAAAACAACAACATGGAAATATGTAAATTATTACAATCTAATTGATTTTATAATGTTTTGCTTCTTTTATCTCCATACTTCTATATTGCAGCACATACCGAGAACGTAACGGGCAATTCTGCATATTGTGGGGGCGGGGATGTTATAATAATTCAGACTTTCTATGGATAATACAGGCCTTAATAGGTTTAATCACTTTCTTTTCACCACTTTTACCTAATAAGAATTTAGAAGAATAAAATTTTTAAATGATAACTTGAATCTGGAGACGTGTTGCTTTAAACGTACTCGCAAACTTTATTGAACAAGGCGCGTTCACATTCTCCATTTAGACAGGACTGATTTTGAGAATTGGGCTCCTTATAAGATGCTAGAGGCATTTTGTAGTATTTGGTGTATTTTACCTATTTAAGGTATGCTGAATCCGATAAAGGTGGATACCAAATTGAAAAACTTGATCTTGACCAGTGAAATGGCCATTTAAAATGACCACTAAAATGGCCGCCAAATTTCTTTATCATAAATGGATGATAGATCAAATTAAACTTTTTAAGAAAGGAAAAGCCTTGAAATTTGTCACAAAGCATTAAAAAAAACAATCCATTTATGGCCGAAATCCAAGATGGCAGACATTTTTTCTATATGCCAATATAATAGTAATATAGAAGTAATATTAAAGATGGTACTGAAATCTTAAAGATTTACGCAGCGAACACTACAACTCTTTCCATGTCCCTATCTGCTAGATATAGAGCTTTCATGTAACTTTATCTGGGACTCTCTGAAACGCATATAGAGGTAGTCAGATGCCTAACTTTTACACAGGTTAAAACGTGTGCATTAATTTCTCTGAGTACTCTTGGGTTTTGGTGTTCGTTTTTCTATTATCGGTCATCTTCGTTCTTCTGTTATAGGTTCTCGTCGCATTTCTCTGCTGTCAGTTCCTCTATAATTGGTCGTGACTTTCGTTTTTCTGTTATCGGTTCTCTTCTGTCAGTTGTTCTGTTATGTCGTGACTTTCGTTTTTTTTTTTTTTGTTATTGGTCCTCGTCGCAGTTGTCCTGTTGTCAGTTCTTCTGTTATTGGCCGTGACCTTCGTTCTTCTGTAATCGATCCTGTCAGTTTTTTTTATTGTTAGATGTTCTGTTATCGGTTCTCGTCTCTGTTTTTTTGTTATCGTCGGCTTCGTTCTTCTGTTATCGGTTCTCGTCTTCGTTCTTAACTCCGGTTCTTGCTGTTATCTCGTTCTGTCTCTTTTCTTTGCTGTAATCAGTCCTGTGTTTTCGGTTTTCAAGGTTGTCAATCTCTTCTGTTCATACGGTCCCGTCTCTGTTCAATCCCGTCTTATTTTCTGTCATCAGTCTTTCTCGTCCTATATATTCTGTTTATTGATCCCTGTCTCCGTTTTGTCAGTTCTTGCTGTTTTATCAGTCCTGTCTTATTCTGTTATGGTTCTGTCTTTGTTCTTCTGCCGTATTACTGTCAATCGGGTCTCGTCCTCTGTTTACGATCCCTCCGTCTCCTTTGCTATCATCGTCCTCGTCTCTGATTTTCTGTTATCGGTCGTCGTCTTCGTTCTTCGTTCTTCTGTTATCGGTTCTCGTCTTTGGCCTCCGTTATTCTGTCATCGGTTCTCGTCTCTGTTATCGATCCCCGTCTCCATTCCTCTGTCATCAGTCCTCGTCTCTGTTTTTCTGTTATCGATTGTTGTATTGTTGTCAGTTCTTCTGTTATCGGTCCTTGTCTCTGTTTTTCTGTTTTCGGTCTACGTATCTCTGTTCGCTTATTGTCAGTTCTTTTGTTATCGGTGCTTGTCCTGTTATTTCGTTATCGGTCGTCGTCAGTTCTTGTCTCCGTTCTTCCTTCTGTTATCGGTCGTCGTCGGCCTTGTACTTTTGGTACTTGTTTCCAGCTCCGTTAAGGTCTTTTCTTGTTTCTATTCGGTCGACGTATATATGCTTGTTGTCAGTACTGTCTGTTATCTGGTGCTCGTGCCTCTGATGTTAGAGGCCTCGTTTCTGTTCGCTTGTTGCCGAGTCATTGTCTCCGTTCTTCCTTCTGTTATCGTCGTCGTCTTCGGTCTTGTACTTCGGTATTGTTTCTTTCTCCGATATAGGTCTTTTCTTGTTTTCTAGCTATCGTTACCGCAGGTCATTCTGTGTCTATGTCTAGTTTTGTCAGTATTCGTAGTGGAGTAGCGGGGGATCGAATCTACGACCCCTTGATTTGTAGGCAGACAGTGTTACCAACTAGCCATTAGCGCCCCGCTCTTGAATAATAACCATTTTTGAAAAATTCCTTTTAATACATAAAATAGCTATTTCAATGGTAAAAAGGTGTATTACAATTATTTTAACACCTACTACTATGTAGCCACCGCACGTGACTTTTTATATATGGTCAAGAAAAAATATTACTCTATTTTTTACAAGGTAATATTTGTATAAATACTATTGGCTGTTATTTTAAGATATCCTGGAAATTTTAATTGAGGGTTACCCGGAATGATGTGATAATGCTTCTTGAGGAATTTTTTCAAAAACCAGTGACTGAACTCAAAATTTTCGACAAGCTGCATGGTATAGCAAACCCACGTTAGTATCTCCCGGTTTCAGACATTTTCTGACTCGATGAAAATATGGTGTTTTTATTGTTGTTTTTGTTTTTTAACTTTAACTTTAAATTTTCAAATTAAATAGTACTTATTTTTAAACAGATGGTGAACTTAAATATGCCAATGTCATCGACAGCAGTTTTGCATGTGGAGGATGATGTATTTTTCAGACTGTTAAAATAAACAAACAAGAAAATTAAGAGAGATATTACCTGTTGGTATTAAGATGAATGAAGTAATGTTTTCTTCTTTTTTTTACTTTTGCATTTAACTTATTTATCAATTTCAAGCTTTGCTTTTCTCGAACAGCCCCTCTGACCATTGTCAGAATTGTCAAGCAAAAATAAATTGAGGTACCGGGTACATGGGGAAAATATTAAGAAAGTATTTTTTTGTCATTGAAAAGTGTGGAAATTATATTTTCATAAATTTTCACTGTGAAAAATTAATCAAAAATATAATTTTCATGGATAAATCAGTAATCATTTAAAGGATAAAATAAAAAACTATAAAACTTATATTAGTGAAAGTCATATCTGCTAAAAATGGTAAACGTCATCGGGTTACGTTCTGTAGTAGCACAGACCGGTTAAGTGATATAGACTGAATGTATGAGAGGTCTAAAGTTCGATTCCTATTGTTGCCTGTTTTAAAAAACCTGTTTTTTGGGGTTTTTTTTTTGGGGGGGGGGGGCGCAGTATATATTCTAAACCTTTTTTTGTTGTTGTTTATGCATTGAAAATTGCATTTTTGAATTTCAAAAACAAATTTAAAAAATATTTATTTTAAAAACCAAGTGCAGAATGTATGAAAACAAAACGGGGTGGGGGGGGGGGGTGAACAACTTAAAAAAATCATTAGCGTACAAAAATAATGTTGAAAATTACGAAAACATCCTGAAGTGACATTTTCTACATTTTTTCTCGCCTAAATTGAATTCGAATTTACGGGATAATAGATTCCCAATTAGAAATATTATTTCGTTTTTAACGAAATATAAAAATCTTAATTAGCGAAATATATGCTTATATTCGCTAAATTTTGGGTGGCCAATCTCATTAAAATCTTTATCATATTGAATAATCACTTTGATTTTGACAAGCAATAATTAATTGCATCATATTGTATCATAGTTTTTTGACGACCTATTTTAGTATTTTCAAGCGGCCATTTTGAATTGACCTTTTAAAGGTCAAGGTCAATTTTATTTTCTCTTTGGTATCCCTACCCTCATCGTCTTCAGCATACCCGTTTTAGGTTTAAAATACCAAGATAATACTTGTACTATAAAATGCCTCTAGCATTCATATTTTCTTAAAATCAGTCCTGTCTAATTCTAAACCCGGTGTATTATATGTAAATGTATATATAACTTCTTTGCATTAAGTTTATTATTTTATATCTACACTTTAATTTGGTCGCACAGCCGTTAAGACTTTAGGTCAGTTGATTTTTTTGTTCTTTTCTTTCATTCCTTTCCATCAATCCTGTCATTTTCATTCTCACAACACTAAAATTCGTACCGCTTATATATACTCAGATAGATCTTTTTCTATTTTAATTTTGATCTGATCTTTAGCAAACTTTAATTTAGAAATGAAATCCTTGAGTCACCAAAAGCTGCAATAATGATATTTAAAGAGTGCCCTTTTTACAATATATTTCGATTGAAACGGTGGCAGCATTTCGCACTTGCGCATTCAGCGTAGGGCAAAAGAGCAATAGTGAAAGATAACATATTTAAATTGATCTTACATTTTTTAGCTAAAATTTCTCACAACGAGATTTTTTCCTCTTAATAACTTTTTGTATTTTGATGTTCGCGTTCCTGTTTTAAAATAAATGTAGTAAAAAATTCGTTTGGGAAAAGAACCTACCATGTCTGGCAGAAATAAATTATTATGTACAAAAAATCATTCTAACCACATGATCATCATGCATATTTGTTGTTCAATGCAATGGACTAGAAATCTAGAACAAACTGACAGGAAGTACGTTTATATTAACTGTGATTTCAAAAATTTATTCTGTAAAATCGGAATATCTTTTGGTATAAGTGACAAAATTATCAGAAAGCAATGTATTTTTATCGACACGTTTTAACGCCTTTAATTTATCGAACGCATGAAACAAATGACCTCTGACACTGTGTGAATATTTGGCGTACAGCGCACATCCAATCAGAACGAAAGCAAACGAAATTAACACGAGAAGACCGAACACTTCCGGTTCCGGTGCCACAATCACCATGACAAATTTCAACGTGTCCATGAGCTGATTCAGGGAATTTTGAACACCGAACACGATTCCACGTTCTTGTTCCGCGACAGTCTCTAGAAACAGCTGAGTTATTGTCAAATCTGTCATCCATAAGCCTGCAATAATATAAAAAAAATGTCAAATAAAGGGGTAATCTCACCATATGCTGATTGTTAAAAAACATAAATTTTACGCCTAGCTACCGGAAAAAACAGCGTCAAATTATTTTGAATTAGTACTATCAGCTGTCTGTTTGCTATGTAATATTTGCGACTAATGCTAAGAACAAAAAAATGAAAATTAAAACACTCGTTTATTCATCTATACAATGAGACGAGCATTTTGAAAATTGTGTTCATGCACGATCCAGACACATTTTCCGGAAAGCTGTATATCATTTCGTGACCCGTATAACTTCAAAGCTGCAAATGTTGTAATGTAGCAGCAACTTCAACATCACGTGGCAGGGCAGTGGGATTTGAACGCAATAAGTTAGACTCTAGAAATTTATGTAACTCAAACTCAGACCTAAAGTACATGTATTTGTGAATGGTATGGCCAGGGCAGAGATTGTACACTGACCTTTGAAAATCATGATATTCGAGACCCATATCAAAAAACAGTATCTTGGGTTTTTCATTGTTGCAAATCAGTAAAATGCAATGTTATATTCTTTTAAATGAAATACTAAGAAATATTGATGAAACAAAATGCGCATTTTCATTTTCTGTATAATTACTTTACATTGCAATGAAAAATATATCATATATAAACACTGGGGATTTGCCGGACTACTTTCTTCTAAATTCAGCAAATACACAACATATAAGGGGAGGTTTTTCAAATTGTAATTTCAAAAAAGAGAAAAATGTATATGATAAACAGAAAATTCAAAATTTTCTATAAATGCAGGATTGTGGTACGAAAATCATATTTCACCAGTCATGAACTAATTATTTTCATACAACACAATAAAAAATAAATCCTGTATTTACTGAAAAAAATTAAATATACTCTATAATATTATATTCAACGCAAAAATGAGTATACCACAACGAGCTCCAATTATTCCTGTCATAAGCAAGCCTATAGATATGTAGTCTTGCCAAACATTGTCTGTCGATCCTCGTGTAGTGTTGGTAGCAGACGTACTCTGACCGGATGTTGACATATTCAAGAAAGATAACTCTGTCGTCTTATTCAGTTCTTGAAGTGTAAGTTTTTCTTCTTTGTTATAATGGAGAATAAACGGAGACCCCGGTGCCCACACGGAAGCTACACATAATGTCAGGAAAGTTGTTTGAAAAAGTAGTCCATAAAGTCCTGTCCGCTGTTGCCCTACAAGACTGCGCATGCGCGGATAAATTATACTTCCAAGAATTCCCATTACAGCTCCGGCTGCCATTAATGCCCCCATGACAGATTCGTTCACGCCTTGTGTATATGCAAAACCTGCAAAATTGATTTTGTATAAATCTAAATAAAAATGTAATTGAATACGTGGTTAAATTCAACAATCATGTTTGTGATTTTGGAATCAATTTCATTTGACGGAATGTAATTTCAATTCAATTATATAATTTATGTTTGTGATTTTAGAATCATTAGGACTAGTGTAAATTATTTCAAAGCGTATGCCGATGCTCTTTAACCGTTTTTGTAAAGAATTTTTGATTGAATATTAATTGACTAAATTTTGTTAATATGTATTTTCTTCAAGGCTATAACCAGTAAGTTGAAGGTATAAATTTTAGTAAATAAAAGTATCTTGGGTACCTACCCACAGTAATGTTATCAAACCCGAGCACTGTCATGAACAAGAAGGCCAGACCTAAACCTGCAAACGCTACGTCATACTTCATGTAAGTTTTCCAACCACGTGCAAGCGTGACGAATGTACCCAGAATTCTTTTCATACAGGAAGTGCAAGAAATGGATACTTCGTGTTTGATGTCGGCTGCTATTGAAAATGATGTTAAAAGAGAAAATGGTAAGAAAAAAATGAAGTCAGTAACATAAATGTAAAAGAAATATTATCAGATTATAATAGCATCTTGCAGCCGTATTTTCAACTGCAAACCAATCGCATGTTTTCGCCTCTTTTCGTCTCAGGTCAGTAAAAATGTTCACGAAAAGTCGGCGAGGTGTTTATCACTCTTAGAATTAAAGTAACTTTACAAAAAGTATTGTTTGACTACATATATATAATTTAACATTTAGTATAAATAGTATAGATCTAGATCATTTTTGTCCTTACCTTTCTCAACTCGACATTTCTCTTTCTTAGCTCTTAATGCAGGGACTACATTATAAACTTTCCAAAGAAGATAATACTCTAGGAAAACCGAGACAACATTCCATCCTCCAATAAAAAGAGCACCGACTTCAGTTGAAGCAAACGCCATGATCTGTCCAGTTACAATAGGAGCAACGATGTTCGTAATTAGGTCTATACTCTTTAAAATGGCACTAGTTGCTATAAACACAAAAATGTTATAAATTGCAGACGACCATTGAAATAAATAAATAGATGTCAATATTTCCTTATATTTAAAATAAAATGTTATTAACTTTAAACACAGTCACGACGAAGGGTTTGCAAATAGTTCAATACCATATTTATAGCAAATGCGAAACTATAAACAACTTCAATGATATTACATATCGGAAAGTAAAAAAATGCATTGTTTATGGAAGGAGTTTCTAATTTTTGATTGTATTGACAAAGCATACTGATTCAGACATTGCATTTTTAAGTCTATTTTTAACTATTGCAATGTGTCGGTTCTTTTCGTCATACTTCGGTAAGTAAACAGTGAGGTGTTGCGATTTGCAAACAATGAAATCAAAGCAAACTTTAAACCACTCACACGGTCAAAATTTGAATTACTCCATCAAAATTGAAAATGAACATTGTTTAAAATAAATCAGCGAAAGCAATAAAATAAGATACATGTAGTTGATATATTTTTCATATGCTCAAGTCTGGTTAACCAGGGCTGGGAATCAAAACTGCGTCGTATCTTACAAAATGTAAACAAACGCCGCCATCTTGGAACAAAAACGTATGTTTTGGTTTATAACTTTTTTTGTTGGAAATGACTGAAAACCAGATATATGTATTAACACGCTACACTAGTTTCCGCTTCGTTCGGTATATGTTGCTTGCACAACTATTTTGTAAAACAAAAGTTATAGCGAACTTGCAACTCGAAGCGGGGCAGAATTTTTATGAAAATGTGTGGATACGACGCAGTTCATATTGCTTTATTTACCTTTTTTCCTTCAAATCAAATATATATTTGTTTCAGAGTTCACCATAAACTTCGAAATTTAATTTTGCCTCATTTACTAAAATTTCATTTAAAAGAGATGTTTATTTTCTAAGAAAATAATGATTTTTACAAAATGATACGACGCAGTTGAAAAAAAATATGATACGACGCAGTTGTATTTTTAGCAGTCTTTTCAACAGGTATAATTTTGGCAATAGATTTCTATTTTATGGAATAATCACTTGCGATAGATAGAAAAAAAAACCCAGATCATTTGCAGTGTAAAGCAATGTTGCTTTTGATTATTTAGAATACATTGTGTCATGTCCAATATAACATTTAATTTGAAAGTTTACATTGCGGAAGCTACTTTTCAGTTAAACATGAACAGGTTACCTAATTGATCATAATATCTGAAATAAGTTCTTGTGATATGTTCAATATTATCCCTAATTTTTTTCGCAAAAAATGTAGAAATCTATTAACTTTAATTCATTTTGGCTACCTACGCTCTAAGTTAACTGTGGTTCTGCATGTTCTGGGTAATGACTGCTTTTTTGTGGTTTGTCTCTACACATTAGCTTTACTAGGGGACGCCTTTGTGCATTATTTCAGGCAAAATGTTGCACCGGCAGAGAACGATCGACATTTTGAAACTAGCTTGATAGGTTTTCCATACGAAAGAATAAAAGTCCCTGATGGTTTGTTAAGTTTTCAGGCAATTCACTATCAAATAAAAATCACACTTTAGTATGAAGGTATGTTAAGATGCCATTTCTCTAGTCTGTTGAAAATTCGATGCGCTAATCTGACCTAAATTGTCTGTTCAATATTGTGAAAACTTCTTCAATACTGTTGAAAGATCATGTCTGCCTATATCTGTATCAAATTTATCGGTGCACAGCGTAAAATACCTTTGCAAAACGGACACCTTCTTTACAAAATAATTTGTAGTTGTATCTTATGTAACTCGATTTTGAAAATTTAAAGTTTTTTAATGGAGAAGAATTATACTTAATTAATTCAGTGCAAATATAGAAAATACATTCCGTAGACCTTTCCTCATCGGCGATAAAGAAATGCGATACGACAAAATCAGCGGTAAAGTTCAGCAGCGCTGAACATAAAATGACTAAACGGAACGCATAACCTACTTGCAAAACTATATTGTAGCTTAACCATTTATAATATAATTTTAAAAATTTAAAGTTCAGTTGCTCATCTGTTCTCACCGATTATTACGAAAATGAATACAATAAAATCGTTACGTAAAAGACGTAAGTAATAACGGAATTGACGGAAATTATTGCTAATTACAAGTAACAAAGGTAGACATGCAATTTGCGCATACATTTAGCTCTCTTCCGATAGCAAGGGACCTTTTCAAAATCTGTAATTTTTTCTCTCTTTTTTTTTTAAAAAAAAAGGGTCATTCTTGATTAATACAGGGTCCAGGAGAGGTTACACTGGAATATTGAATTTTGTATCAAAAATAGTAATCACTCCCATTTCGAACTCACGGGAACACTTTTAGAAGCATGCTAAGGCAACACTGGAACACGTTGTCATATGGGTGTGCGATCACGTGTTTCAATATATATTGCATTTGATACAGCTTTTCGGAATTTGTAGATGCTTATGATAGGTACTAAAATGCGACCGAAAAATGCAGCCTTAATAGAATTGTATTACATTTCCACTTTTATGGAACCAATGAGTGACCTCTGCTTTTGACTTAAGTTGTAAACAAGAAATGTTGTTGGACATTATTAGCATACCTAGCACATAATTTAAATAGTTTAACCAATATGCAGCCTGCAATGAAAATACAACTGCGTCGTATCATATTTTATTTTCAACTGCGTCGTATCATTTCGTAAAAATCATTATTTTCTTGGAAAATAAACATCTCTTTTTGGTGAAAGTTTAGTAAATGATGCAAAATTATGTTTTGAAGTTTATGGTGAACTCTGAAAACGAATATATTTTTGATTTGAAGGAAAAAACGATAGATAAAGCAATATGAACTGCGTCGTATCCACACAATTTCATAAAAATTCTGCTCCGCTTCGAGTTGCAAGTTCGCTATAACTTTTGTTTTACAAAATAGTTGTGCAAGCAACATATACCGAACGAAGCGGAAAATAGTGAAGCGTGTTAATACATATATCTGGTTTTCAGTCATTTCCAACAAAAAAAGTTATAAACCAAAACATACGTTTTTCGTTCCAAGATGGCGGCGTTTGTTTACATTTTGTAGGATACGACGCAGTTTTGATTCCCAGCCATGGTTAGTGGAGCCGTTGTAAATACTCATATGTAGATTACCGGGGTAATTTACTTGGTAGCACAGACATACGGAAGACTTACTTGCAAGAAGGTCAGTGTTTGAGCCACATATTTCAACTATCCAATCTTTCTCTACCGCTATCGTGTTTGCAGAGCTTGCCAACTGTGCAATGGTGGAAATAAGAATAATAACACCAAAACATAGAGTCAGAAGTGATTTATCTGGCCACTGTTCCTCTATATCCGTGCGGTAAATTATCACAAAATACACGACAACAGAGCACATTGCTATACTAAGATTTTGTACAATCAGTGACGAACGTGCAGCTGAAATGTTAGATTCGGCAATTACACAATATCAAACTGGTATTTTGAAATATTTTATTAAATTTCAAATAATTATAATTTAGATAAATTTTTAGAAAATTGGCATTTTTCCAAATTTTAAATTACTGTTACTGCATAGTACATGTACAATACCAGATAATCTTGGAGTATTGTCCACCCAGTCGCCCACCAGTGGCCCCAGTACCAACATGGCTGCACCCATAACAAACCCATACACAGCAGTAAGCAACAAAGAGTCCGGATTGATGATAACCAGAAATAGCCCTGCACCAAATTGCCACATCCGGGCACCCTAAATAACAGACGACATCTTGTTATATGGCGGAGAGTTTTCTTTTCTATGTTATATGGCTAGCACTCTTTTTATGTAATATGTGTAAAGAAAAAATTAAAAAAAAAACTAAAAAAAAACTTTGGATTGAACTGATTATATATATAATATGTATCTAATATTTTTATGTAATACTAGTATTAAAGTTTCAGAGTATTATTTAACTTTTCGATCCTATTATAATCGAATAGTTTGAAAAGATTCTTGACAGGGGTTATATAGTCAAAAATAAACGAATGTTTGCATATATTAATGGCTATTAATATATGTCGAGTTGAGAAAGGTAAGGACAAAATGATCTAGATTTATTTATACTAAAAGTTCAATTATGTAGTCAAACAAAATTTGTTGCAAAGTTATTTTAATTTACAAAATTTGATGCAAAAATGTCATTTAAATATTAATTTATACAATATCAAATGAACAAAAACGTCATTTCCGTACGAATATAAGTTTATTCTGATGTCCACATAATTATAATTATGTAAAATTCAATCACAACAAAATAATGGAAAATTTACGGTGAAAAGGTCATATGTAGAGAGTAGTTTCAATGAAATATGATCAAGAACTCGTGTATTAAAGTTCTGATAAATTTTATAGGAATAGCTCTGCGACTTACTACATGTATTTTACTATTTAACAAAACAAAAAATGTCCATTAACAATAAAAAAAAATAAGCCTTGATGTTGTTAACACTAAAAGTTATCAATGAGTAATGGTTCAATCAATTTTCTTAGAAGAAAATTGGCATTGTTGAGCACTAAATAAAACACAAATTATCAAGAGGGTTGAAAGGGAGTGGGGCATCGGGAGTGGTCAAGTTAACAAGTACAGATGCACATATACTCACCCAAGCAGACAGGAAATGGCTGAAGTAAACATATCGGCACACAGAGTTAGATGACCCACCTGAAAAAAACGAGGAATTGTCAGTTGTTTTTCCGTGCTGTTTGTATTTCCCTCCGCTTTTTAACACACACACACGCATACGCACACAAGCGCGCGCAGGCACACACACGCGCGCGCACACCCACGCACACGCACGCACGCACACGCACGCACGCAAGAATAATAATGATAATTATAAAGAAATTGTATTCCTTCAAAAAAAAATTTGATGGAAATAAATAAATAAATACTTTCAATTAAAGGAGAACTGTCATCAAATGGTCGACCATCCTCACAGTCGTCGTCGGCGTCAGTATGAGTAAATTCCTCATGTGCATTCTTGTCAGCGGTAGCCTTCCTTGAAATAATCAGTGTGCAATGAAGAAAATATTTTGTCGGTATAAAATTCAAATTTGTTTCAAAATATTTAGTCATAAATTATCTTAATGATATTTGAAATATAACATGTACATATGAATATTTAAGGATGTCAAGTCACCTACATTGTTTTATTCATTTTTTCTCGTCGATTGATCAAGTAAACAGTGATTTAAAAAAAGAAATTATGCCTAAGCCATAGAGGATATTCAACTTTTTTCTATAAATACATGATTTATCTTCATCGAGTGGTATGAAAATAAAAATTTCATGAGTGGCGGTAGCCACAAGTGAAATATGGTAATTTTCATGCCACAAGATGAAAATAAATCATGTATTTATAGAAAAAACTTGAATTTTCTGTTTATTATATACATTTTTCTCTTTCTGGACATTAAAGTTTGCAAGACTTAACCTTAAATTTTGAGTACTGGCAGAATTTAAAAGAAAGTAGTCCGGCAAGACACCAGTGAAAATACGGAAAATATGTTTCACTGCAGTGAAAAATAAATTTTTACAGTGAAAATACGGAAAATAAAAATTCGTATTTTATTTCATCAATATTTCTTAATATTTCTAAGTATATAATAAAAGTTGTTATGCACATTGTGGAACGTAATATTTGACATTTTTTCCTCTATAATACTGTATAATTAAATGGTCACAAAGCCTACTGTTCTATAATTATTTTACTCCCCTTCTGCCCTTTTGTCACGCATAGTTGATTTAAAACGATTTTAGAGCTTTAAGCGGTGTGTTGCGTATGATAGGGATTACACGTTAAAGAAAACCAATGAGAACTTTGCTTCAGCAGAAGACCAACAATCTTGGATTCATTCATTTTTCTGTTTATTAATTTACTTATTATTGTTGTTGTATCTCACACCCTCCTGCCCTTAATTTTGCCAGATTGAAAAATACGAAAACCCAAGAACTAAAATTATTCAATTATTAAAACTTGAGAATTATTTCCAAAACAATGTCTGTATTTCAAAAATGTTTGACTTTTGAAAAAAGTAGGGATGTCATCTGGAGTCCGGATATCCGAACGTTCGAATTAAGTGTCCGGGGTCACAATTTCCGGATCTGGATATTCGTATACAATATTTGTTAACATTAAACGTTAGAATATTGAGCTTCATTGATTGTCATAAAATGTTTAAAAAGTGACGAAACAAATGTTAAGCAACTTCATCAGCCTAAATGTAAAATTTTCCTCCCTATCTAGCGGCTGCTCTAGTGAAAAATCTTCACTTTATTTTATATGTATTATTAAATGTTGAAAGTTTTTGCTTTTAATTATTTATATTCCTTGCTCCTATCGCATGTTTTATTTTGACACTAAAATTAAAAAAAACACACAGTGGCCTAAGAAATATTTTAACTTACGACATTTTATCCAAGTTAGAAAAAAACACAATAGCGCTTGCAATAACCAAGCTAATGCCACATAATTACTGATTAGACTTGTACTACCTTTCTATATATCTTTATACGTTTGTTTTTCTTTTGTACCTCATTAATTGCATTTTAATGTCCACTCACTCTCCCTATAACTGTAAAATATGCATAGTCAGCTGCATCACTAATATATGGTGGCTGATTTGTGCCATGTCGTATTGTCCCTCCGAGGAGCTCCAAACGAAACCATGAAAATCCGTCATCAAAGTAACCACTTTGTCGTATTTAGCACCAAAGTACACATTGTTGTAAGTTCTTCTTGTTTTGCCTGGCGCCCCGCGGGCCGACTGTACAATTTAAAGTAATTTCGTCTGGCGCCCTGATAAAGGTGAAATAACAAAAGTACGACAAAAAGATAGTGTTGTCGTATTTTCGCGTTTTCGCATGGCGCCCCGCGGAGCAAATGTACGACTTACTTGTCGTATTTTCGCGTTTTCGCAATACGCTCCGTGAAGCAAAAATACGGCATGGCATATATCAGCCACCATAGTTATTACAAAATGCGGAACATACTGATTTATTCTTGATGATACGCAGGCGAGTTTGTACCAGTTCATCATCCTTGTCATGGCCTGGTGAAGGTGGTCACAGGATCACGGCAGTAAGCCACTTTAAATTCACCAGAAGACTGTTCAGCCACCGCATCGTTCCTGGGAAAGGATTTCATGATCAATCACAACGAAATTGACATGCACCGTGCGGAAGTCGAACCAAATGTACAGTCCAACGCTCAACCTTACCAGGCGGTGTACGATGACCTGCTTTTGTTAAGTGTCTTAAGTGGTTAGTGGTTAAGGTGTCTGCCTCTCAACCCAGAAATCATGGGTCCGAGTCCTACTCGGGTCACGACCATGTTTCTTCATATGGCACCAGTAATGGTTGGTTCCAGGAAGCAGACTCTAAAGTGATTAATATAACTTGCAAGAACTTGTTTCGCAATCGAGCTTAAATAAATATGTTTAAATATACCTATAAAGAACAGGTAAATTAAAGTTATAGCACTTCCATGCCAATATGCAACGAAATCGTATCTATTAGTAAATCATCACGATGGGATAGGAAAATGGTATATATTTTTTTGGTCATTTTAAAATTACAAACTGAAATCAGGGAATCTCATTGGCCATTCTAAAATAAAATGTAAAGGAGAGTTCTTGTTATTCTTAAATAAAGTTCTAAGGATATAAATTGCTATAATATTTAAGTTCTGTTTAATCATATTCCATCCCAGAAAACATTTTTACACAGCGTTTAGACTCATTACACTTTATAGTGAACATTTTATTTAACATAAGAACTTATAATGACTTTATTTTACGAAATTCTTTTAATGTTATAATGCTAAACAGTTATGTGTTAATTTTCTAAAACTGCGAATTGGTACCAGATTTGAAAATGAAATGCTAGAAAAGCGAATTCACCAAACTCATTTTAAATTTGTTAGGATGTTTTTCCCCCACGGAGGAGAAACGAAATTGACAGCTTTTACCAGTTGAAGACGTTTTCACTCAGATGTAAAATAATAACCACTAGGCCATATCGGTACGTTACTTTCACCAAAATTCTGTTAGTAAATCGTAATAAATTACGGAAACAAATTACGGAAACTAACGAAAAGCTAAGAGTCTCAGATCAAAATTGCCAAACACTATTAAATTACAATAAACATATAGACATTTAGTAAATGTATCGACATACAGTATTTAGTAACTTTTAGACATAAAAGAATGTCCCGATACATCTGCCGACTCAAGATGCGAATTTTTTTAAGTGGATGGGTCTACAAAATGGCACATTTTCAAGAAATATTTCAAATAATGATGAAAGCAATAGAAATTTAACATATCATTTCGATATTCTTACGAAATATTGCTTGAAGAATTCTTTTTACCTTGTTCTACATGATATGACTTTTATATGATGAATTACTATTATTTTCTTCTAGAACAGTTTAAGATTCTTTCATGATTTGTTATCACACATAGTATTTGATATTATCAACATAAATATTGATGGTATTGCATACTTTCCATTACAGACCAATACACTTTAAATATCCTTTTTGTTTCCACTTATAATGTAAAAACCATAGAATTAAGAATAGTTTGCAACTTCGCTGTCTGTTAGGTGCATATAATTTCCATCTTTTAAGTATATTACAGTATTCCGTTTTGACAATCGTGATTTTTTTATTTCGTCCTTACTCGCGATGCGCACAATGGTACGATGGTGAAAACACGAAGCTACGATGACACTATGGTGAAAACGCGATGGTACGATGGTTATATGGACCTTTCCAGTGTTTACAGTTTTAATGAACACGTGGTTATAATTGTGAGCAATGAATGGAAAAGGTGTGGCTAAATATTCCGCTACGAAAAACCGGAATCCTATATACTTAGTCTTTTGGAGATTCTCCTAATTAAGATTTTATTTATCCCAATTAGGCCTTTAAAACTTCTTATTAGGAGTAACAAAGTTGTTATTAGGTTTATTTCTCCTAATTTTTCTTATGAGTAAAATTTCTTATTTAGTTATAACTGGTAGAAACAAATAAATTTTTGTCTCTCCCATTTAGGAGAATCCAAATAAGGCTTTTATAGCTTTTATCTAAAGTGAAAACGTCCTTATTAGGCTTTTAACACTAAAAAGACGTAGCAAAGTCCTAATTAAGCTTAGGATTTTGCAGCAAAGCAGTAATTTTATTTTAGGTTATCGACCATGCGACCACATACATGCATCGAGGACATTGTGTAAGGAAAGTGACCGTGCGACCACATACACGCATCACAGGATTCCCTTTCTTTTGAGAGAAAGGGACAAAGAGATGTCCGCCCTTTTATTAAAGGGCCGACTTTACAAAATATGCCAATATCTTATTATTATTAATAAGTAGGCTAATTTACCCAGAAATGTCTTGAATTGGTTTATATACAACCATAGAAATGCAAACCGAACGGGTTATCAGATTACATTAATTAAAGTCCGCTATGAAATTTCAAAAAGATCATATTTAATTTCTTGGCAAATTTTGAATTTAAAGATTTTTTAACTTTTCATTAAATGTGTGTTACAGAATTATTTCAATTTTGCAAAACATGAACGTTTCTAAAACGTTTTATATGCATTAAATATTGAAGATATATTTCACACTCTGTTTCAAATATTAGCCTGGGGGCATTTTTGCCAAAATACACATTCAAATAACAGAAAAGGTAATGTGATTGGCTGCAAGAAAAAGATTAAACTTGAGCAGCCGACAATTTTGACACTGGTAAGACTACATACATATGTGCAAATCTTATCTTACCTGCTGAATTTGTAAAAAGCAGCGACATATAACGGCAGTGTTGTGACATTTAACGGTAACGGAATAAAAAATAATTTAAGACATATAGCGGCGGTTGCAACATCTAGTGGCAATAGTGCGACATATAGTTAACCTGTTCCCTCAAGTAAGAAACAAATGTTTCCTCAACAAAGCTTATTCTCGCGGATTAGAAGCTCGTTCCCTCAACATATAGCTAATCTGTTCTCGCGAGGAAGAAAGTCGTTCCCCGAAATAGCTTACTTTTGTTTAAGAGAGCTAGAAAGTCGCTCCCTCAACATACTTTACATGTACACTTTACTACGCTATCATTATTATTCAAATATATGCATATCTATACGTTTAAATAGTATAAATAGTATCTAAATAGTCCCTTGCCATCAAAAAATATGAATAAAATGTAATTCAATAGAACTACTACATGCGTTTTTTACATTTATATTTTGAAATTTAATAGTTCAAAACATGTATACATGTAAATGTGATAGAAAATGTGTTATTCTACATATAATCTGTATCGTCTTTTTTATACTTGACACTGTCATCTTTAATAATAATTTCAGTTTCGGAACATTCAACACCGCTTATTGGTTCCGAGTGGCTATTCACCCTTGATAACTGTCCACGCACACTGCAAACATACTTTGTGTCAATCTTAACGCATTGCCAAATCAAACGAAATAACACGAAAGACCGCACCTTCCCCGGTTCCGGTGCGCACGATCACCCTGAGAATTTTCAACGTGTCCATTAACTGATTAGTGAATTTTAACACGAACACGTTCCACTTCTTGTTCCCACGAAGCCTCTAGAAACAGCTGAGTGATTGTCAAATCAGCTATCCATAAGCCTGCAATATAATTGACGTCACATAACAGAAGCCAATTAGGAATAAATAAACTGTGCAAGGCATTGGACAAATTAAATAAATAAATTATGTAGTCTTCAATTCAGCTTAATTATGTAGTCTTCAATTCAGCTTTAATTGACATTACCTTTACTTATAGGTCATAAAAACCACATACAATAAGAAACCCTTTGCATTTAATATGTATAGGCAACATGAAATTTTGTAACTAAACTGTTTGATTTATTTTATTCTAATACAAACGGTTTTAAACTGAGGTACAGAAAAAGAATTTTAGAGTGAACTCAGAAAAAAATAAAAATAAACTTAATAAAGCTCAAAAGGTATTATTAAGATAAAGAGCCCTCCCGTACCGCATCTGGCTCCGATAATTCCTGTCATAAGTAGGCCGACTGATATGTAATCTTCCCAAGTCTCGCTTTCGGACAATGATGTGTCGTTAAATGGTACAGGAGTGGTATTGTTGAACAAAGGTGGTATGGAAGTGCTATTGAAAAGAGGCGGAAATGCCGTCGAATTTGTGTCCAATACGTCATCACTCTCACTTGCCTTACTTGCATAATTAAGGTCAAACGGTGACCCCTTAGCCCAAACGGAAGCAACGCATAACGTCAGGAAAGCCAGCTGGGAAGTCAGTCCAAAAAGACCCGTTCTTTGTTGTCCTATGCATTTGCGCATGCGTGGATAAATGATGGTACCCAAGATTCCTACCAAAGCACCGGCGGCCATTAAACCACCCATAATGGATTCGTTTATCCCTTGTGTATACGCAAAACCTATATTTGAAATTTAAATATAAAGTTATTTATAAGAGATTCCATTGAGGTTTTTTGACATGACGGGACTGGAAATATTATTTTCGAGATTTGTACACCATGGATGGAGATGGAGATCTATCCCAATAATTTAACTTGTGTGCAAAAGATCATTTGCTCCCTCCGTTTATTCCAGTAGAATCATTTTTATTGTGCAAAATGACCTAAAATTACAACTCAGATCGGGCAAAGAATTCCACTAAATATCGGTTCTTTATTAATTTTACGTATATAGAGGATATTGAATGAGTGTAGTTTAATACTAAATTTATTGAACGAGTTGAATAAAATCATATTATGCGAGCCTCTGGCGAGCATAATATTGTTTTATTCAACGAGTTCAATAAATTTAGTATTAAATCTACACGAATATAATATTCTATTTATCACATATATAAAATAAGAACAGTAAAATGAGTAATTTTTCAATGACGACGCTAACATTAGCGCTTTAAGCTACAGTCTCACTTACATCCCGGCAGAGCCCCGGTAGACGTCGGGGTGATCCGGGAACGACCGGGGTACGACCGGAACAACCGGGGTACATCCGTAACTCTGCCGGCAACGTCCTGGATGATCCGGGAACATCCGGCATTCGACCCCGGATGGAATAAAATATTTAATATCACCGGGGTGGTCCGGGATGATCCGGGAAGGTATAGCGTTGCCGGCTTCATCCTTAGCTCTGCCGGGAACGACCGGGGTTATACCGGGAAAGCACCGTAGCTCTGCCGGCACAAACCGGGGATGATCCGGGGTATGATATAGCCGGTAGAGCTACGGTAGAGCTACGGTAGAGCCCGGTATATGCCGGCAGAGCCCCGGTAACTACAGGCAGAGCCCCGGAGGATAAAAGGTAGAGCTACGGTTGATCCCGGTAGAGCCCCGCAAAGCCCGGATCATTTCAAAAGAATAAGGACAATTTGCGATCATTGAACTTGTTTGTGTATTAAAAGCCTTCCCATTTCTCTTCTTTCCAGTATGGCATAAGGATTTTTCAGAAAATCATCATGAATTACTATTCTGGAACAATAGATATTATATTAAATAAAAATTATGTATCAAAGTTATCATTTTCGGGCGTTTTCAATCCACCGGGGTTCTACCGGGGCTCTGCCTGGATCGTCCTGGGCTCTGCCGGGGCTCTGCCTGGATCGACCGGGGCTCTGCCTGGGTCAACCGGGCTCTTCCGGCGTCATCCGGGAACGACCGGGGAAGCACCGGCATAAACCGTAGCTTCACCTGGGCTCTGCCTGGATGATCCGGAGCGCATCCTGGGTGGTTAGTAGGGAACTATCGTAGTGCTGCCGGGGTAAGTGTGACCGCAACAATAATTTCATCCCGGATCGTCCCGGATCATCCCGGTAACTTACCGGGATGGTCCTGGGCTCTGCCGGGAGTAAGTGAGACCGAGGCTTTAACGCTATGTTTATATAGCGCAAATGACGTCACGTCACTAGTGTAATATCGTTTTTATTAAATGGCTTTATTGCACTCCTGCGCCGCGGTTTATATGATAAATTTTTTTATTAGTTTTCATTTGTTGTGTTTTTTTTTCAACTTTAAGTGCCAAAGTTAGTCTACGTAAGATTTTCAAATTTGATGTATTAAGGCTGTCAGTGTAAAAATATCATTTTATTAATAATAAACACTTTTTTGTATCTTTTAATCAAATGTTTTCTGTTACTAATACATAATTGCAAGTGATATATGCCGTACATATAAAAATATTTACCAACAGTAATGTTGTCAAAACCAAGAACTGTCATATACAGGGACGCTAGCCCAAGACCAGCAAAAGCCACCTCGTACTTCATGAATGTCTTCCAGCCGCGGATCAACGTCAAGAAACTTCCCAACAAACCTTTCATACAAGAGGCACATTTCCCAGATTCCTGATTCTCTATATCTGAAAGAAAAAGATAGGTAAGTTCAGTTCAGGGCATGTAGTCTATTTTCACCAGTTATGTAATGTTCATAACAGCTCGAATATGCTTTCGAACTTAAGACACTCCATTCTTTTCTCATTACATTTTTATTACTTTTTTATCTTGGATGTTTTGATTATTTCACAAGTAGAATTTGAAGCTTCCGGTCCATTTAAATATGATAAGTACTACATGTATATAACAGTTTGCAATACATTCCTATGCCATTAATTCCGATTTATGGATTAAGTTTTGTCTTTGGTCCGTCAACAGATGAAAGTAAAAATTTATACTCAATAAAAATTTATCTAATTCTACTATGTCATAGCTTACTTGTTCATTTCACAAAGGATGAATGCATTACAAAGTACAATCACTTACAAATAATTATTACTTGTCCAGCATTTTGTAAGCTCTACAATCACATTTTGTGAGAAGTAAGTTTACCTTTATCCACGACACATTTATCTTTCACTGCCCGGAGTGCGGGAACGACAGTGTAGACCTTCCACAGTAAGTAGTACTCCACGAAAACGGAAATGACGTTCCAGCCGCCAATAAAGATGGCGCCGATCTCGGTAGATGCATATGTCATGATCTGGCCGGTAGCAATAGGCGCTACAATATTCGTGATCAGATCTATGCTCTTTAGTATGGCGCTTGTAGCTGAAAAGACAACTCATTTTAAAAATGGTATTCATACTCACAAAATGTAAATGGCATGAAATTTATAACATGTCGACATTTTGCGTCATATTTATCCTTTTTTTATAATTTAAAAAATGGCATTCATTAATACAAGATATTTCAAAATTTGTGTTTATAAGGAAGCATAATTTCGCAAGCATTTTGTCTTACTTAAAATAAACTATATATTTAAGGTTGTATTTTATCACAACCACACAGCAAAGGTCAGTCTTCATGCACGAGCGAACACAATCATAGAAAAATCGATCTTTCTTAAGCTAGCTGGATACCTTAATTAATCTTAACTCAAAGAGGATAGCATCAAAAGCTGAAACTGTGAAACCTTTTTCCAACTCGACCACGGAACTTTGATTAATGGCTTAACAATGTTAACATATACATGTACTTGTTTTGAAAGTCGACATTAAATATTATGCTAACTTGCAAGGAGATCTTTGTCTGTTCCACAAATTTCTGCTATCCAGTCTTTCTCTACAGCTATGGTGTTGCCAGTACTGGCTAACTGGGCTATCACGGCAATCAGGATGATGCCAGCGTAACACAGAGTCTGTAGTCCATAATCCGGCCATTGTGTCTCTATCTCAGACTTGTAAATTATAACAAAGTAAACCGCCGCTGCACACACCGCTATACTCAAATTCTGGACAATCAAAGATATTCTTGCAGCTGCCAGAAGTAAGAATAAAGCATTTTAAAAAGGTCATAAAAAATCTCGTTATAACGAATTTTCTTAAACAAAGAAAAATAGAATCAAATAAAAATAAAATTAACTATGTCATAATATAGCGTAAACAACGGTTAGACGGCCACTTTTACAATGGTTTTTGTATTGGCATGAACATGAGTTAATTGTTAATATATTCAAATCAGCATAATTTACATATAAAGTGTCACTTCCACAGAAAAAAGTTAATATCAAAACATGTTGAGATATTTTAAGAGTTTTCATAGATCATAAGATGTACTAGAAAATATATTTAGAAATCAAACTAAAAAGCAGTTAACAACGTTTGATTCTCGTTATTATGGCTTCAGAACAAATTGTAGTGTTTATTAGTACCTTTACAAAATTTTAAAATTACAAAAATTTCAAACGGGGTTTTTAGATGATTAAATTTTTGCGTTTACTAATTAAAGGGGAAAGTGTTATGATTCTTTAAAAAATGAAATTTTATTGCTAACTAAAAATCGGGCCTTTTTAATGTAAATTGTTAATTGGGAAAAAGTTAAAACCCCTTTTCATGCCCTGAAACCTTGGGTTCTATTACCAGTCCCCCAGATGGGACCAAAATCAAAAAAGGCCCCTCCCATACAAAACCCAAAAGGCTGTTTGGGAAAAATGAGTCTGGGCTTAATGAGAGAAACAACCAACCCCAAAGCCATCCTCCCCTGTAATTTATTTTACGACAGTATATGATTGTAAAAGCTCGACTGTGCTAAATATTTTAAATGTCGCAAATTCAAGCTGCTGTACTTCACCATCTTTCTTTTAAACTAGAATATGGAAAATGTTTCCGTTGCAGTATTTAATCTGGATGGAAAATTTCATTGTAAATCTAATAGGGGTTGCAAATTTCAAGATGGACAATGGATTCTTTTATAAATTGGTTTAGAAAAAAATATAATTAATTCTTTTGGAAGATGACCAATTTCCGTTAGTTGGGATAAGAGTTTTGTTTCTTCCGTTGTAATTTGTTAAGAATATTGCGGCCATCTTTTTCATCTGTTTCAAATGCATTGCCATTGGACGGGATCATACCGTTTCCTTTTGTTGAAAACATCCGGTGTCGAATGGAACTAAGGCTATTCATATTCATGTTGTTTATACTAGTACATGTATACCATTTGTATGGGAACAGTTTATGCTTTTGAAATATACAATATGTGCAAAAGGTTGTGTGTATACTAGTTCAAAATAATCAGAAAAAATGGGTATTATTCCCAAAAAAGGAGCATGGACATAATCAAAATTACAAAAAACAGTGATTGATATATTGCATCGTTTATAAGGGTATATTAAATTATACAAACCCATGCTGACAGAAAGTGGCTCACATAAACATACCAACAACAAAAGTCGTGACTTTCCCAAAAAAAGAAAAAATTTTAATAACGATAAAAATTATAAAAAATTTAAAAAACGTGCTAGTTCGCGGTATTTTATAGAAACCCTAAATGGGGGGGACCCGTTAAATGTTTCTAGTATCAATTTGCGCCTCATACCCCATATAATAAAAAGATCATTTCATCCCCATCAATAAAAAAATAAATTTCATTATAAAATTTATAAAAAAAAGCACTGAATTATAAAAACATGAAATAGTCCCCGAATGTCAAGATTATTGGAGTGAGTCTTATAAAAATTCGAATGATTTTAAGCCTTTTAAAACCACGGAAAGCCTGTCTGTCATGCCAATTGCTGAATGTAAAATGCCAATTGCTTAAGGATACATGCGAAATGACAATTGCTAAATGATACATGCGAAATGCCAATTGCTAAATGTTACATGGGAAATGTCAATTGCTAAATGTTACATGGGAAATGTCAATTGCTAAATGTTACATGCGAAATGCCAATTGCTAAAATGTTACATGCGAAATGCTAATTGCTAAATCAGGGCTGGGAATCAAAACTGCGTCGTATCCTACAAAATGTAAACAAACGCCGCCATCTTGGAACGAAAAACGTATGTTTTGGTTTATAACTTTTTTGTTGGAAATGACTGAAACCAAGATATATGTATTAACACGCTTCACTATTTTCCGCTTCGTTCGGTATATGTGTTGCTTGCACAACTATTTTGTAAAACAAAAGTTATAGCGAACTTGCAACTCGAAGCGGGGCAGAATTTTTTATGAAAATGTGTGGATACGACGCAGTTCATATTGCTTTATCTATCGTTTTTTCCTTCAAATCAAAAATATATTCGTTTTCAGAGTTCACCATAAACTTCAAAACATAATTTTGCATCATTTACTAAACCCTCACCAAAAAGAGATGTTTATTTTCCCAAGAAAATAATGCTTTTTACGAAATGATACGACGCAGTTTGAAAATAAAATATGATACGACGCAGTTGTATTTTCATTGCTGGCTGCATATTGGTTTAAACTATTTAAATTATGTGCTAGGTTATGCTAATAATGTCCAACAACATTTCTTGTTTACAACTTAAGTCAAAAGCAGAGGTCACTCATTTGGTTCCATAAAAGTGGAAATGTAATACAATTCTATTAAGGCTGCATTTTTCGGTCGCATTTTAGTACCTATCATAAGCATCTACAAATTCCGAAAAGCTGTATCAAATGCAATATATAATTGAAACACGTGATCGCACACCCATATGACAACGTGTTCCAGTGTTGCCTTAGCATGCTTCTAAAAGTGTTCCCGTGAGTTTCGAAATGGGAGTGATTAACTATTTTGATACAAAATTTCCAATATTCCAGTGTAAACCTCTCCTGGACCCTGTATTAATCAAGAAATGACCCTTTTTTTTTTAAAAAAAAAGGAGAGAGAAAAATTAACAGATTTTAGAAAAGGTCCCTTGCTATCGGAAGAGAGCTAAATGTAATGCGCAAAATTGCATGTCTACCTTTGTTACTTGTAATTAGCAATAATTTTCCGTCAATTCCGTTATTTACTTACGTCTTTTACGTAACGATTTTATTGTATTCATTTTCGTAAATAATCGGTGAGAAACAGATGAGCAACTGAAACTTTTTAAATTTTTTAAAATTATTATTATAAATGGTTAAGCTACAATATAGTTTTGCAAGTAGGTTATGCGTTCCGTTTTAGTCATTTTATTGTTCAGGCGCTGCTGAACTTTACCGCTGATTTTGTCGTATCGCCATTTCTTTATCGCCGATGAGGAAAGGTCTACGGAAATGTATTTTCTAATATTTGCACTGAATTAATTAAGTATAATTCTTCTCCATTAAAAAAACTTTAAATTTTCAAAATCGAGTTACATAAGATACAACTACAAATTATTTTGTAAAGAAGGTGTCCGTTTTGCAAAGGTATTTTACGCTGTGCACCGATAAATTTTGTGATACAGATATAGGCAGACATGATCTTTCAACAGTATTGAAGAAGTTTTCACAATATTGAACAGACAATTTAGGTTTCAGATTAGCGCATCGAATTTTCAACAGACCCTAGAGAAATGGCATATTAACATACCTTCATACTAAAGTGTGTATTTTTATTTGATAGTGAATTGCCTGAAAAACTTAACAAACCATCAGGGACTTTTATTCTTTTCGTGTGGAAAACCTATCAAGCTAGTTTTTAAAAAATGTCGATCGTTCTCTGCGTCCCTAGTAAAGCTAATGTGTAGAGACAAACCACAAAAAAGCAGTCATTACCCAGAACATGCAGAACCACAGTTAACTTAGAGCGTAGGTAGCCAAAATGAATTAAAGTTAATAGATTTCTACATTTTTTGCGAAAAAAATTAGGGATAATATTGAAACATATCACAAGAACTTATTTCAGATATTATGATCAATTAGGGTAACCTGTTCATGTTTTAACTGAAAAGTAGCTTCCGCAATGTAAACTTTCAAATTAAATGTTATATTGGACATGACACAATGTAATTCTAAATAATCAAAAGCAACATTGCTTTACACTGCAAATGATCTGGGTTTTTTTTTCTATCTATCGCAAGTGATTATTCCATAAAATAGAAATCTATTGCCAAAATTATACCTGTTGAAAAAGACTGCTAAAAATACAACTGCGTCGTATCATATTTTTTTTTCAAACTGCGTCGTATCATTTTGTAAAAATCATTATTTTCTTAGAAAATAAACATCTCTTTTAAATGAAATTTTAGTAAATGAGGCAAAATTAAATTTCGAAGTTTATGGTGAACTCTGAAACAAATATATATTTGATTTGAAGGAAAAAGGTAAATAAAGCAATATGAACTGCGTCGTATCCACACATTTTCATAAAAATTCTGCCCCCGCTTCGAGTTGCAAGTTCGCTATAACTTTTGTTTTAACAAAATAGTTGTGCAAGCAACATATACCGAACGAAGCGGAAAATAGTGTAGCGTGTTAATACATATATCTGGTTTTCAGTCATTTCCAACAAAAAAAGTTATAAACCAAAACATACGTTTTTCGTTCCAAGATGGCGGCGTTTGTTTACATTTTGTAGGATACGACGCAGTTTTGATTCCCAGCCCTGTAAATGATACAAGCGAAATGACAATTGCTAAATGTTACATGCGAAATGTCAATTGCTAAATGATACATGCGAAATGACAATTGCTAAATGATACATGCGAAATGACAATTGCTAAATGATACATGCGAAATGACAATTGCTAAATGATACATGCGAAATTTATATTACTGAATGATTGTAGCTGCACAAAGAAGAACCTTTGTTACTTAGTTCTAAATTTTAATTGCAAAATGTTTTTATAAATGTATAGTAAAACATTTCAAGGCGAATATTTATTTTCATTTACAATCGGAAAAGATTTTTGTGCTGTGTGTACAGTTATGTTAAAGAAGAAAAGTTGACTTATACAGTATACATGTGTGTGTTTGACTTTTATTACTTCAGATTAATATTTATCTTATATGATATTTATCTTATATGATATATTAATGGTCCAGTAATGGTGTCTTGACCTTCTTTTCATTAAAGGCCCATTGTGCCTCAGA